GCTTGGATTGAGACGTAGATGTACTATAGGCATTACTTTATTATCATTATTATATAATTATCCTCAACGCCTTGCTAAATTCAAAAAGAAAATTCTCCGCCCTGCGATGTCTGAACGTCGCTAAATATCTGAACTCCGCAGAATGCTAGAAGTCGATTAAGTGTCCAGAGTGGACTGCATATCTGATTTGGGCCCCTCCACTCCCCTCTTCCCCGCTTCTCTTAACATCTCCATGGTAGACGCGAAATCATTTCCCACCTTTTTTGACCCAACTGACGAAAAGGAATACTTAGGTGGAGCTGTAGATGGAGTAGATGTCGACTTGGAGTCTCTGAATTTCGGTTGTGGAGTCGAATACTCAAAATCGCCGGATTTTTTGTCATTGGATGTCTTATTTGGCGTCGAACATTTAACTTTCTTCTCGGCTTTACGCTTTGCTTTCGCGGCAGCGATTAGTTGTTCAAGGCGTGCTATTTTATCATCGTCTGATTCTTTAGGTATGCTCTCCTTCTGCGGAGGCGTACTTTCCCTCTGCACAGGCATACTTTGCCTCTTCGCTCTCCTCTTCCTGCCCTCCTCAGCAAGCCTTTTGATTTCCGCATCCATCTCCTCATCCTCTCTACTTCTCTTCCCTAGACTTCCCCCTCGTTCCCTCGCCTCCAAGTCCTCTTTCATACTCCTTCTCTTGCCTTCAAATAACGCAGCAGCCTTTTGTTTCTGCACGCGCGCATTGCGATAGTTGTCATACTTTTGTTTTAATTCTGGTTCTGCGAGTACATCATGCGCGGCTTGAAATTGTTCGTATTTGTCTGGGTCGAAGGCATCTCCTAGTTTGTCCGGATGGTAGAGCAAGGCCGTTTTTCGATATGCGCGACGGAGTTCTGAGACGCTGAAAGATTCGGGGGTGATGCCTAGGAGCGTGTAAAAGTCGACTTCGGAGGTTATCCATTTCGTCAAGTCGTCGGAGGGCATCGCGATTTTGTTTTTGGAGAGTAAAATTGAAATTGGATCTACTAAGGCGTTGTAATGTACTTTTATGGGATTGGGAAGGGGAAATTCGAAAAGTATTGGTGGATTTTGTAAGTGTAGAAATTGTGGTTGTAATTTTTGTAGATTTGATGACGGGCTTTTTGGAGATTTGGTAAGGCTAGAGCAAGGCTGTGAAGACAATTTACCCGATACTTAACCGGTTTGTCTTGACAATCTCTTTTGGGAAGAGTCACTCACCGGTTGAACATGCATGAATATACTACTACACTGCAATACATATTTTTTCGACAAGAAAACTCAGACCGTTGAGTCCACCTCTTTGCATCATACGCCTCTTACTTTTATGGCTTCATTAAATCAGTGCACGTGACGCTCTTTAGAAACTGCCTTCGTCTGTAAGCAATTCTTCACGGAGGATCTTACCACCATGGCTACGTTTAATGGTAAGAATATCGCCGAGAGTATGGACGCTTTGAGATTGTTAGATCCTGAGCCCAACTCGGAGAGATCAGTGAAAGATCTACTTCAAAAATCTCAAAATCTGATGACGGAACTCGAACAATTCAAGGCTCTTTTGAAAGAGCGAAAGCAAGACAAGACAGTTGAACTAAGACACTTCTCGACAAATCTCCAATCTGAGATCAAATCTTTAACAAGACTTGCAAACTTAGACCCGGAAGATGAAAAGGTGGCCCATACAGTTAGCTCTTCGAATTTTCCATTCTATTCCGCTGTTTGGAATACAGCAAAGGGTTGCAAGGGTATTACAGCTCTGAGAAAACGTTTCTTTTGGACTACTGGTCAAACTCTGCTCAAATCTAAACGAGGTGACCTCTCAGCGCAGAGCAATATTAAAAGTGTGGAAGTCGATGTCGTAGCTGGAGAGGATCTTGAATGGGTCAAAGTCAATACAATTACTGCTCGAAGGATGATATTTGACCTAGCCAAGGCCGGATGGGCCGAAGACGATTCAACTGATGATGAAGATGAGAATTTTGCTCGACTAGACTCAGACGATGAATCAGAAGGTCTTTTAAAGCAAGCCAAGTTGCTCGTAGAAGCTTCTAAACTGGCCAGAACCAAATACCGGTACCCAACAGTACGTATGGTACTTCCTAGAATCACACGAGATTGTCCCAAGCAGGTGGCTAGTGTTTTACAAGAAATTCGGGCATTGGGAGTTACAGTGCAGATATTTGAAGACATTCCTACAAGCCTTGAGATATCGACAGTTCTCCAGCGTATGGTAGTAGACCCATTTGAGAAATTCTCCGAAACACTTAACGTTGATTGTACGATGATATTTGCATTTATTAGTGAGTAAGTAAAAATTATTGTGTCCCGTGATGGGTGCACCTATTTCTCCGAACAACGGTCAGCTATTTCCCTGTTTGCTAATTACGCGAAATTCAGTCTTTCACATGGCCAAGTTGAATCAAAAGACTGGCATCATCGCTTTTTGATTAAACAAATGGAAATGGAAAGTGAAGATCAGCTCTTACCTAGTATTGTCTGGCCTGCATGCGGTGCTAGAAAGCTCATATGTACTCGTGAGGCAGTCGCAAGAGCCCAAGAGATCATAGATACAATTGGAACAGACACCGAAAAGAAAAGAATGGAACTGATTTTCGGGTTCAATCATGAGTCGACAAGAGACAAGCTGGCGGAGGAATTTCAAAAGCTCTCCGAGTATAGCATTCCTCTGGAATGGCAGTTACCAATTTCCATAGTTGATGTGGATGTAACCATTATCAAATCCGAGCTTCCTAACGTCGTTTATGACGTCTCAAAAGTTCTGACTGGTGTTAATCAGTCCGTGTTCCTGTACGGATGGGCGTCTAGATTGACAACAATTAGCAGCAATCGTGTTGTTGCTAAAGAAATCGAGGCCACGATTGAAGCAAACAGAGGTTCTGTTGACGTTCAGGGCCCGGACATCTGGTTGTCTCCAATGGCACGATCTCTTGTAGGAAAAGAAAAACAGCGACGCGGATTCAAAGAATGATTCAATGATAGATCCGAGTATGTAGCTCGTACTTATGAATTGAAATTTGTTTCCTGAATTTTGCCTCTTTGAGTTTAGCGCTAGAAGTAAATAAGTGTGCAGTCATTGCATGATGTTCGGCTTTTCTTCTACAATTTTTATTGTACGTACCTCCCATTATCTTCAGCCTCAGTGTTTGCTTTGGTGAACATCAGAAAATCTGTGGTCAACATGCTGTCATCTGCGGCAGAATTTATCTAGAAAGTATATATTGGAATCTGGGGATAGCTTTAGTAGGCCTATTACTTTTCCTTGGTGAAGTTTTTCATCGCTGATTATGACTTTCTGTGATTTTGTCTGGTTGTTACACTTACTGTCCTCAGTCGTCCTAGAGAATAACGCAATCCAGTCTTTCAATTCTTTTACTAGCTGTGTCCCCGCTGCGGCAGTTGATAAATTAGGTGCAGTCGAAATCATTTTTTCAGGAGATTCTCCGATTCGCATTTTGAATGAGTTCCGGGGAATTGGGTAAAGAACATCCTTCTTACACACCATGACGATAGTCACGATCACTTTCAACGATTCAATCAATTACCTTGGTATGTTGACTCTAACTTGATTCATCCCCTACCGACGCTAATGGTCTTGCGGGCACTGGCGCGAAATTCCGTTCCCCTTGTAATGCTATGCTGTCTAGATGTACAAAAATTAACTGTAGCGACTAGACCCTTTTGGAAGGTACACATCACTCCCTTTAAAAAATTAAAAAAAATTTTCAGGCTTGGATATACGGTGAATTTGAAAATATGGATGTATATAATTTTTATATCCGAGCCATCAAGGTCTGGCTTGGTAGGGTTCATGGGATTCGGATCTCGAAAATTCTTTTTCATTTGACTGCTGCGCAAGATAGTGGTTCACTTTTTCTTGCTTTGTCCCCTCGGTATTTTTGTTATGATGTATAGCGAAAAATCAGCAAGTTTTTTTGTTTCAATGTCACTTGAAGGTATCCAGATCTACACTAGCAGAGGGGATGTGATTTGTGATGAAAGGATCAATAGTAAAACATGTTATCATGAATTGACACCTTGATAACTGTTATTCAAGGACTGATGCAAATATTTGTTCAGAGAAAATAACATCTAGATCTTCGCTCAGAATTTCAATTTGGCCTCAAGCGCATCGCTCTGGGAATGCTCTGTGAGAGAAGCGCTGTCTTTGTAAATCATAGGATCCCAATGGATCTAGTCAAGATCATATCAACACTGCAATTGCAGGTATATATAGTAGCTAGTTCTATTTATCATCTTTGGTTGCACATTTGAATACTTGGCCCCCTGAATAGCTTTCGCTCATCACTCTATTACTCTATCATGAATCTGAAGATGTTGTCACTTTGATTCAACTCGATTTCTTGACTTCAATTTATACTCGATGATTCGAAACCGCGACAAAGTTTAATCTAGTTGCTAGTACGATTAATATAGTACGTAAGTCAGTATTTAGTCAATGATGCTTATTAATTTCCACGATTAAATGCTAATTGGCCCCAAATCGAGATTAGCGAAATGACATAATGGAAAAACTCGGTAGTCTGATGACTTTAGCGATTAAATCTTCTCTTATTGAGCAAGCTTTAATTCACATCCATAATAACATCAAGATTTCAATTCATAACATTTTCACTTCGTTCATACTCATTCAGGGTATCAGCAGTTTGTTTTATTACATTCACTTGATCACATTCATTTGCATCTATACTATTTTGTGAAGTTTATTAATGTATATTCCTACATAGTCTCCAGAAATGTTATATCATCCACTCAGAATGGTGAGCAGTGATAAATTTCAACCGAAATTACGTCCCCGGCAGTCATTTCCTAATGAGCCACCCTTATTTCGAACAAATACATAATAATATTCCTAACAGCACCAGTGATCATCACCACACACTGCTTTGTAGCCAGCTGTCTTTCTCCACCTCTCAACTTCCACCCCGCAAGAGAATCCCTGTGGTAATGATCCACTATCTCTTGCCAGCAGTTCTTCTCTTTACCCACCTGCTGGCCTCATCTTGATCAACATCCTGAGCTTCTGCCCGAACACGAGCACGACCACGCTTCTTCAGGGGAGGATCAACCTCCATCTTGCTGGTATCCTCCTGGGTAGCAGCTACCTTCTTGGCTTCCGATTTCTTGGCTACTGCAACTGTGAACAGTTCTCTCAAGCCGATTGCATATCCTAACTCGTGTTGAGTATAGTGTGTGTATGTAAGCTTGAGAGGCTTTGGTGGCACCGAGCTTGCCACCAACGCATAGACATCAGGAACTCTCTGAGCGAGAGCAACCAGAGCCGCAGACCAAACATCATCGTGATTTTCGAGCATATATTGCTGGGCGGCTTTTAGACACTTTTGCAATAATGGCCAAAGAGTGTATGTTCTGGCTTCCCGATCGCTCCAGTTGTATGCAGAGACTCGTTGGACTGGAAGCAGTACCAAAGGGGAAGCCAAAGTCTGAAGACCGGGTGATGTTGTCTTCAATTCTTGTCGTTTTTCGAAGAACAACTTTCTAGTTCCGGCGTTTTCGGCCAACATGTGTAAGAACTCCAGTACTTGAACGAGTAGTGGAGTTAGTTCCATGGTCTGGGCAGTCATGTCTCTCATGAAATCCGCAACTAGATCGAGAAGCATACTCTTGCGGAGAAGCTGGTCGAATCCGAAAGTAATCGCTCCGTTTCTGGCAACGGTAGTGTTGAGCGTCGTCAAGCATTTCAAAAGAGCAGGAAGAAGCTCTCTGGTTGCGTGAGTCAATGGGAGATGTGGTGACTCATTCCGGAAGTTGATCGCAGCATCGTCGACAGCGCTCAAGGCCTCCCAGGCTGTCCTAGTATCCGAAAAGGTGCACTCCTTTAGATGTGGAGCTACACCACAACCCAAACAAGTTCCGAAAGAGCATTTAGCACATGCGGCAATGTGCAAATGGCTTTTGGTATTGGCCGAATCGGGAGCAATGAGCTGTGGTTGGGAGGGATTGGGTAACCAAACTTGCGATACTTTGTATGTGTTTGGAATTCTGCACTTGATGCAATTGACCATCAACCCTTGCTGCATTGCAAGTTGGATATCCGACAGGAGAGTGGCTGCTCTTGGGATGCTCTCATCTTTGATGCTGGGAGTTTGCTGGTCCCAGGCCTCTTCGAAGTCTTCGTCAAATTCATTAGCATCGTGAGAGCTAATGTGCGACGATGCGGGAGTTAGAGAGCCCGGTTGCTTTCTATCCAAATGCAAATCCCCGAAATTGTTCATGACCGACTGTGCATGTTGCTCTGGATCCAACTGCAGATTTCTGAGCCTGCCAGAAAGGGGATCGGCTAAGTTCAGGGCCGACTGTGCAGGTGCACCGACTTTGCCTGCAGCGCTGGTCTGCTTGGTAGTGGGTGCTGTCATGTTGAATGTGAATTGGGTGGATGGGAAATCGACGGGGAATGAACCTGACATCTTGAATGATGATTCGCAGATGTTTCTTGGATGGTTCGTAGATGTTTTCGTTGATGGAATTTGATTTGTTTTGATTGGTAGAATTTGAATTTTTTTGATGGAATTCAAAATCGATGCCGTTGGATAGGTGGGAGAACTCGAGGTACTTATGTTATTTGGACTTCTCGAGAGTGTTTGAGAACGAGTAAAAGATAGAGAAATTTTGAGTGGGAATAAGAAGCCCTTATATGCACATGAGAATCAGTATCTGAGACACCAAAACAGTCGCTGTCTGCGCGAACTTTTACGGTTCTCAAGATTAGATAATCAGTTCTAGGCGTATTTGGTTTACGGTCATGGTTTTTGATGTTTATATACGATTTTTCACTTTTTAGCGTGACTTCTGGTAGGTTTGACTTGTAAAGTACGGCAGTAAAGTCTCACTTTCTTGTCACGGTAATTAACGCGCGTTAGAATTATTCAGCGCGTCAAGTACGGTAGCGATGTTGCACACTTTTCAACATGATGAGTCAGCGTGAGCGAGATATGGGAAGTGCTCAGAACAAGGTAGCTGTCCTGCTTACCGATATTGTTTGTCACACTGCTAGGCAGCAGACTCAATCACAGCTAAATTCTGCAATACGGCAGTGTTCTCGCTTAAGATTCTCTCAATTCAAGTTAAGCGAGACTCAAAAATAGCTACAGGCGAGAGACTAGGCTGTTTTGATTACCAATATCTTGCCTCAGGTCGACTAGCGGTAGATATCGCGAGTGTTCAGAGCAAGGCGGCCATCTTGCTTACTGATATTGTTTGTTATACTACTAGGCAACCGACTTAAATAGAGTCAAATTTGCAATACGGCAGTTATCTCGCTTATTGATCTCTGAATTCTTGTTAAGCGCGACTTTAAGCTGAGCTACAAGCGAGACACTAGGCTGTTTTGATTACTAATATCTTGGATCAGATTGACTAGCGTCGAGCCTATACAGTCAAACCGAGATTTTAGATTGTTTTGCTTATAAACCTAGTGTTTAATAGATTCGCGTGAACTAGATGCGGTCAATTTGTCGAGATGGGATGGTAGCCGGTCATATACAGCCAATTTTGCTCGGAAAACTCTGATATGAGATTCATCATTCTTGGAAAGGAGACGGAAGAGTGGAATTTCAAAAATGGTGCACCGTTGAGTAATTCATTTATGGATCTGGATAGAACTGTGTATTCGGTATCTTGAAAATCGGGATCAATGGATGGCTACTGATTGTTACTGAACGAAGAAGTATTTGTCTCTGCTTTTCGAGATCTGAATAATTCTCGGAACCACGAAAGCTTCTCAGTGAAGAATCAGTTTAAGACGAAGAGTACTTGACTGGAAATCTAGTTTAGTGACTACTCAGAGTTTCAAAATTAGAGGTGATGTGTACTCCAAACCATCATTGTTGACATAATCTGCGAAAAGTATGTGCATATCTAGATATGGAATACATCTCGTAATGTCCTATCTAATTTTAAGATCACAGCCTTTATATAGTCAATGAGCAAGATTATTTTATGGCTAGCTGAGTTCATTTCGTAGTATTCACATAGCGAAACGACTAGAGATATATATTTGTCATTGCATTACAAGATCTTGATCTTAGAATTCTTTAATTAGATTCTAACTTTCGACATAGTACACTCAGATACAAGCATGTATAGTTCCTAGCTAATAGGACTAGTTGATAAGTTTTTTTACTATCGATTGTTTCAAAGCACTATGAGGATTTAAATTGATTAGCGTTCTATTCGAACTAGATTCTAATGATATAGAAGTCTCTTGTCCGAGAAAATTGATTGGTATGTATAGCGTTTCACTTTCCTCAAGAAATCAAAAATTTTGAGATTAAAAGAATCTACTGAGAGTCATTATTTCTGAAAGTAGGCATAAATTTTTCAGAAAGTTATAATCCGGTAGAATTAAGCGAAGTAGACATTTTCGGTTAAATCATTCGAAAGATTTAACTAATCAAAGAGGAGTCATCTGTACTAACGATAATTACTTGAATCATTTTCCGAGTTCGAAATGAATACTATTAGTAGACTAGTTTTGGGATATTCTGTATGAAATTTATATAAGGAGTTATTAAATTATTTCAGGAGATATGATTTCATAAAATCAGTTTTAAGGAGATTATTCTATGAACTTTTTACGAACATAGAGCGCTATTAGCTAATATTATCGAATATTATGAAATTTGACTACTAGCGAGTATAGAACATGAATATAATACAGCGTGAAATCTCATCAAGAGAACTTCATCTTACTAGCAAAGTGTTAAGAGGATTGAAAGTAGAAGTCTGTAATATTAGTTATAGATTTCTCTACTCTAGTTGCAATCGAGCATCTATTAGATATCACCTAAATAAATCAGCCGAAAGTAATTTTATAATTAGTAATCATATAGCATTTGAATGACATCGTCTGATGTTACTGAATCTAGTATCGACATTCATTTGTTTTCATGAAGTTATTGAAGATTACTAGGGATATCTAAATAGAACAGATACTATACATGCTTAATCATAATAAATCGCAGGTAATTATGAATTCTAGTCTCATGCTTTTCATATGAGATTTGAAAATAGCTTGAAACTAATATAGAGGATATTCATCAGTATCACCGTTTATACGAAGTCAATATAACTCTATAGCATAAGCTTTTAACATGACTTGAGCGGGGCTTACTTATGGATACTAACGGAATCAACGCAAGTACGTCATTGATGGCGAAATCACATGACGATATGAACAGTAAGAAATGCATTCGTGTTCCTAAGCTTCACTTGATACGGCAGTGTGTCTAATTGAACCTCGACTATAGATACAAATCAGTCCGAAATGGCAACAGCTGGAGAAGGAGGAGATTTAGAAGAAGGAAAGGAGAGAAGTAGGAGTCACTATATGCTCTACAAAAACTTTCACACATTTGTTTCACAGAAGACAAGTCTAAAAAGAGAAATTCGAATAACTTGATACACTATCTACCTGGGTAATTCACAGTTTATACAATATCTACATATCCTTGAAACAATTCGTATGATATGGCTCCGATTCCTGGAGACGTTACTCCCTTCTCCCGCGCTGTACAGAAGTAACCGCAAAGTCCTCAATCTACTCATCATCAGAAATCACAATAGCCTCTTCTGGATCCTCTGCCTTTATTTTCTGTGCTGGCGGTTCATCACTCATTGAATCAGACATTCTTCGACGCTTGCCAGCCTTCTTGGAGCTCTCCGCCAGACTTGAAGCCCCCGCCTCTTGTAGATACTTGAGATGGTTTGGGTCTCTTGTCGGCATGACGGCTTCAAACCCTTCGGCACTGTCATTCTTGTGGGAAGTCTTAAAGTGGGTCTTCATAGCCAAGGGATTTGGAACCCTTTTGTCACAGAGAGAACACAAATATGGGTTCTCTCCAAATATTGCATGAGTGGCAGCCTTCGTGAGTTTCTTCCCTGGCGCAACCTTTGGTGGCTCAATAAGCGAAGAACCCAACACACTCACGTATTTAGCTTCTGTGTGTGACGATCGTTGCCCGAAGTAGTCTTGAGAAAGAGATGCCTTTGCAATCTCTCTAAGTCTGGCGAATGCTTTCGCTTGAGCAGAGTCTCGAGACTGTGCGGAATTCCCGTCCAAAACTGTTTGAATTCTTGATACGCGAGGTAGAACAAGATTCCCGTCTTCGTCTTTCCACGCTTCCCTTTTTGCAATCGACTTGGCAGACGGCAATACAGCTAATGAGCCACTGCTGTGGCGGTGAGCAAGATGCCAAGCGTCTTGCATTGCGATCTTCTCGTGCTGATGTCTTAGTGTCCCCCATGCCGCAAGCGCGAAAGCTTCTCCATGAGGAAAGGTGATAGCCATTGGATTATCTTGTTGATAATGATCGGGCATCTTGTAACTTCTCAAGGTCGGCGCACGATTCATCAAATTTCTCTGTGGGTAGGCGACGAGGACCAGTCTGGAATAATTGTATAAGTCTGGGTCCATCCACGCCAATTTCGGAATTGGTGCAACGTATGGTTTCCTCGGCGAGTCTCCCATCATCCTTGGTGGAATGCCGAGATGGGGATGTCTTGCTCTGAAGACTAGAGCATCACACGGTGCAAATACCCAGTAGTCACGAAGTGACATTATGGTAAATATGCCAGGCCAGCATCCTTCAACAAGATTGGACAAGTTCAGGAGCACCGACATCCGTGCTGGGTCATCCTTCGCGTCTATGTGTAACGATCCAGACTTCCCCATTTCAACTGACAAAGAGACTGTGTCCACATTGGAGTAGTTGACCTGTATGGTTGCTGAAACATGTGTTAGAAATACAAGTGATTCAAAACATGAACTTAGTGGATCAGGACTTACAGAAATTTCTATTTTCCTCGTCGCCAGCCGTGTACGATACATCGATTTCAGACTGTAACTCAAGTACTCTCAGTTCTTCTGCAGGAGTGACATATCGAATGATTGCCTGTGAAACCTTGGCAATCAATTGAGTAGCTTCTGCAAGTTCATCGCAATGCTTAACGTGGCCCTTCGATGTTGTAGCAACTCCGCCACTATCCCCGTTTGGTGGAATCGACCATCCTATGGTGTAGGTGCGACTCGTTTCTCCCCTATCAGATCTAAGAATTTCTTCGAACCTACACTTCTCAGAGTCTTTGCCTTCTCCGCGACGGAGGAACATCTTTCGTAGCTTTAAGATACCTTCCATAACGAAGCTAGGTAGCTCTTCTTGGATAGTCTTCGAGTCAACCTGCTGAGCTGTGAATGACGCATTCTCATTCTCGTTGACGAAGACTTTTTGGTTCGGTGGAATTCGGTTCATCTGGATCGATCGATCCTCTTCTGATGTTAAATACCCAACGGCATCATGTATCAGGTCCGGTACTTCTGAATTTCTAGCTCTTGCTAGCCATAATTCGCTGGTGAAGTTTGGCATGTGGTAGACATGGCCATCGTCTCTTTGGATTGGAAGGGAATAATTAAATTCAACTGGTGAAGACATGATTATGATCTTGTTGTAAGTTTGTCTGTTATAGAGGTAAATAGTTTGTAAGATTTGATAATTGTAGATGTGAAAGAGTAGGAATTCGAGAACTTTATAGATCGAGAAGAGCCCTTCTTCAACTAGATTACCCAATACCGGCTTATTTTGTTTACTGAACCGAGAGTATTCACTTTCTGCAGCTTTGTTAATTTAAATATGTGTTCCGAGGTTGGTCACCATCTATTCACTGATTACAACTTGACAGCTTCTAAAAGTTGACTCCCATACAGCTCGGCTATACTCGGCCAGTTCAATTCCTAAATGATTGAGTTTTCCTGGTTCACTGTGCTCATTACTTCGGGTATTTATTTACAAAAAGTGAATTATATCATAGATACAAGAAATCTGACAAAGAAGTGATTTTGGTGTGGCAGGAAAGTCCACAAAAGGGAGCTGCTGTATTGTAGTTTTATATACCTATGTCGGTCTTGTCTCATTTTGTTTGATGTTTTAATCTGATAGGGTTTTGACATGAGATTTCCATATTCTCACATGACTTGAGAAGGAAGTATAAATGACTATTCCAGCAAACTGGCTGCTCAGTATGTGGAAGCAATCCACCTTGAGATTGATCTCCTGAGATGATCAAAAGAACAAACACCTTGCAGCTGAGGTACTAACATTCTATAAAATTTAGTTAGATGTTGCTACTGAGTGTTCACCTATACCACTACCTTGTTTCTCTCTTTGGTAGTAATAATGTTTTTATCCAAGGAAAAGTAAAACTTTCAGCCAAAGACACCATATAAAGTTACTTGTTGGCAAATCAATGCATGCCATCACGATACGCCAATCGCCCACATAACAACACCAAGCAATAGCGAAAAACGTTTTGAAACAACCACAAAGCAAGCAAGAGGTTCCTGTTGGTATCAACTTGGGTTGATAAAGTGTATAGTACTTTAGTCTTTGTGGTTTATTCGTTCTTGATCATTATTACTATGGGAAGCTAGTACTTAATATAGTAGAAGTGCTAGCGCTAGTGCATACGCTAGTACATACGCTAGTTGCAATACAGTGCCCTCTTAGATCACATGATCGATATCCCGACAGTTCCCCAACTTCCCGAGAATAACTGATTCTACTCCTCGTACAAGCATAAATGATGTGAACAATCACAAACCAAACTCGGATCTGATTCCAGTGAAAGTGATTTGCATAACTTGATATTGCTATACCACATTTGCTGTTTCGAGTTTTGCAAACTCTCCAGAGACAAATCAGTTAGATTGCCAAACCACAGAGACATGGTGGCGTTTCCAAAGAATGATCTATCCCCCTCCTCAACCATATCAAAGTTCCATCCATCCATCCCATCCAACGTCTTCCCGCCCTCCTCTTTGTCTCTCAAAATGTTCATTCCCAAACTCATAACCTCATACATACATACTCCTTCACCATCTTCCAACCAAACCTCTGCGTATACCTATACCTGAGCAAACAGATATCCCCCTAATCTATCCACCACCTCAAACCTCGACTCCATCCTCACCACATCCATCAACCCTTCCTCCCTTCCTCCCTCCTCCCTCCCCCCTCGCTTCTCCATACCCACCCATTTTTCACCACCCTCTCTCACCCTCTAATCTTCATCCCACCTCCTATTTCCCTATTCCCCGTGTCCCTTCTTTCCTTCTTCCCACAATCTCAATCGCCTTATCACCAACTGCACTACACTGCACTTCACTTCACCCTTTTCTCCTCCTCATTTTCCCATTCCACCAAACCCTCAAACCCTCAAATCCAACAGCACGATACACTATCCTTCCTTCCACCCACAACCAAAACACAACAAAAAAGAACCAATACATAGCAAATTACATACACGCTTCCATATAATACTTCTCTCAGCCCATTAAATAAGTCTTTCACAACAAAGTCCTACACACTCATCATACACTTCAAACATAACATATCACCCACACCCACATCCCATGCATGGAGACTTCATACATCCCAAGAAACCGGAAGTGTTTAACATGTTTTAATGTGTTTTTCTCAATTTTTCCTTTTGTTTTCGTGAACTCTACAAACAAGCGAACACTCTCACCGAGCTGCCCCGATATAACGAGAGTGCTCATTCCTAATCTATGTGTGTACTTAATATGCATAATTACAAGGCCGCCTCCACCCTTTTCCCATCCCTCATTTTCGAAATCAGTCTCGCATCTCCCCAAACAATCCGTTTCACCCTATCTATGTACCCACGTCCCCAAAACCAATCAATGTCATAAAAGTAATGCGTGCACCAAACGTTTCCTTCCTTCCCAAATCATTCATTTCACCCCGCGACAATCAAACCAATATATTCATTTTACTACTGATTTGCCGGATTCCGAAACAAAAAACAAACAACCACCCACCCATCCATCCGCGCAGTCATCCACTGACTCATTGGTGATACGAAAAAGCAAAATTCAAATAACAAATAACTAAAAGCAACGCAATAAATTCGCACTCAGGAGCAATGCGTGTGTCAAAGCACCAATCTCAGCACGAAAGAGTAGTTGCGGATTGTGTTGAGAAGGGAATCTTTGTAGATCTTTTCCTCCCAACCAAAGATTTCATCGAGGGGAGAGGTGCCATGGATTGAAATTGTACAATGTAATGCTGAGGATTTAGAACCCTGTAGCTGCTCGTTTAAGGGTCGGTGTCTTGTTGCTCGCGCTTTTTGGTGCTCTCTAACCAGCGTCGCTTGCCGGAGCGAGTATCGAAATGAGGAATGGAAGTGACGTCTCTTCCTGCATTACCGATATTTTCCTTGACTTTGTTGCGCCATGCATCAACTGTTATAATCAATTAGTAACAATTTCTCAACCGGCCGATGTAAAGGACAGGGATATGACTCACGAGCTTTTTGTAAGAAAACCGACTTGTTCGCGAAGGTTCTGCTTTGATGCCATGTCATCCTGTAACCTAAATCATTAAGCTTGACTTCCAATGCTCTCTGAGACTTGCGCATTCTTGGAATAGGGATTTCGGCCTCATCACCATTTGGCAAATGGACAGGAAACATTTTTCTGCCACGCCGAGAACGACCTCGACCTTCAACTTCATCATCGCTATCATCATCTTGAAAGAAGTCGCTGCCGTTTGCCAATGGAGGAGGCGATTGCATTTGCAGAGGGAACCAAGATCGTGAGTAGACAGAGTTGATCTTTCGGTATGAGTCTGGAATTTCATTGATATCGACCGTATCCAAAGTAACGCGGACACGAACACGACTCTGCTTAACGGGATCCTCAACCAAGATGAACTTGCGCTTCTTTGCTTCTGGAACATTACCGAAAACATCGACGCCATCCTCATCATCTTTTGATTGTGCGGCAATTGGGTGGGACCCGCGGGGTAAAGGACGTGCATCGTGAGCACCAGGAATCATGGAAGCTCCGCCTACTGAACTCGAAGGGTAGTTATTGTTGAAACCTGGGAAGGCTTGGTTTTGTCGCACATCGTCTCCCGAATTGGCAGATTGCCCAACTGGAGCTTGATGGTGATGGTGAGTATTCTCATCCATATATTCGTCGTCACCTACACATGGGTTTATTGATTAGCCTCTCAGGTTTATCCGGGAAGCAAAGCAATAACAATACAAAGCAAGCAATGTGGAGCAATACAATAATACAAAGACATAACGCGGGGTAATGGGTAGGTATCGCAGAAGGCAGAAAGCAAAGTGCAATGTTGTATTATACATGAAAGTGCTTTTGTGACTAGTCACTTTAAGGCCCCAAATTTCCCCCAATCAATAGGTATATTCGCAAGAATGGTATCATAACAAAATAATAATAATCGCACATCACATCTGGTGAAACATACCGACTTCTTCTCCTCCTTGGTTACTTCCATCGGGATGGGCGTGGTGGTGATGAAGCTGGGGACCACCCATACCGCTAAGGTTAGGTTTGCCCATGCTTCCCGCACCGCCAGGGCCCATGTTCGCAGAAGGTGGCATCCCTGTAGGACTTGGACCAGTCATGTGAGGATTATGACTTGTAGCCGCTTGAACCGCTTTACGGTTGTTGATTTTAGCCATTCTTCGAACTCGACGACTTCTCAATCTTGGATCTTGGTTACTGTTTCTCCAACTATCGACCGCTCTTTGTATTAATCCACGTTTGCCACGTAGGCAAGGATTCAATTCTGCCAAGGCCCACCCGACAGTGTTGCACTCCGTTTCGTATACCAATCGATTTCCCCTGTATTGATCCTTGCTGCAGCACGCCCTCGGGTAAACACAATTCTCCGTTTTAAATTCCGGGCCTAGGTTTTCAACGTTTATAGACTCGACATCGCATCTGATTGTATATTCCATCTTAACACGATCGCGCGAATATTCGAATGCAATCCATTGAACTCCGTTATTATCTTGTCGCACAACGAGCGGGGTAGTTGCTGGAATTGGACCCGGTGCGGCATTGGGATTGACACCGCTGCCGCCATTTCCAGGTGGATTGTTGGGCTGCATTTGAGGTGTACCGTTCGCAGAATGCTGAGCCCCTAAAGGTGGATTTGGTCTAGCAATTTGTGGAACGTGTGGCTCCATCTTTGTTCGTGGACTTCCAGTCATACCAGGCTGTTGATGCTGATTAGGATGTGGTTGCATCTGGTGCTGATTTGTCTGGTGTGACATGAGCAATGTTGGCTGTGAAGTCATGGATTGCTGATGATGGTGCTGTTGCTGCTGCGGGGGTGGTGGTGGTTGCGCATACGGAGAAGGTCCCCCAGGAGCCATGGGAGGAGGATATTGCTGCTGAGGTGGCCCCGGGTAATACATCTGCTGGCTTTGTTGCAATTGTGAAGATGACGCATACATTCTGTTCTCATGTGCAGGCGATGCAACAGAGGCTGGGGAGTTGGACTGAGGGGTTTGGTAAATTGGTGGATATGGAGCTCGTGTCATATGTTGAGTGGCCGCCATGATGTCTGGAGTTTCTGGACCTATGCGAAAATTAGTATCTAGTCTACAATTGAGGTATAACGCGTCAAAAAAGCGCGTTTACACACCTGCGGATGAATATGTACCCGATGCGCTTGGAGTACTGTAAGGACTTGCGTGAGTTGGGTAATATGGAAGTTCTTGATGTTGACCACCAGGCCCTGTCGCAGTTTGTGGATATTGAGGTAAAGCGTGTCCAGAAGGATACGCGTTAGGGTGTTGTGGTGGTGGAGGAGCTTGCTGATGGTGCTGATGCACAATACTCGAAGGTCGCGGTTGTTGTTGAAGATGGTGCGAAGGTGGAGGACCTTGACCTTGCGGCGCGTGGTGGGGATGATGCTGCATTGATGCCATCTGTTAGTTATGGTTTCTTCAACTTTTATGATACATGTAACGTCAAAAATGTAGAGACCATTGAGAAAAACCAGTCGCGTCGCGATGTATTTTTTGAGACTTTAGATGTATGAAAAGTGGTGGTCGATCCTTGATGACGAGGGTCAAGTGCAGCAGCGCGGTACCTGGAATGAGATCTTCTGACAGGACAGGCGGCGCAGAGTAATAGTGGTAGAAAAACAGCAAGAAATCTTTAGATGCGGGACTGGGACAAGGGAATAGAACGAGGGTGTACCTCAGTATAACAGATGCCTTGCTTCTATTACGAAATTTTTCAGATGAGTGGACAAGGACCACAAGCGATGAAGGCAATGTCCGAGGATCCAGTTTTTAAGTAGTGGATCTGACGAGGGTGAAAAGCTTATGAGATGAGCAAGAATAAAGACTCGAAGGAGCCGGAGAATAATAACAGAATGGGGTAGGTAGAAGATTGATCTGAACGAGGATAACGTACGAGGGTAAGTAGCTTTTGATGAGATAGATGATTATAACAAGCAGGACCGGAGATAGGCAGGGTAATTTGAGTGGTCTGAAATGGGGAAGATTAAGCTTGAAGAACAAGGGCTTCGAATGGATGGATGAGATGGATTTGATAATGATCAAAAGAAATGTGGAAGAGGGCAAGGGGAACGGAAATGTAAGTTATTCAGTGGAACCAAGGACAACGCATGGTATAAATGTGACAAGGGTTATATCGCATGAAAATGTAGAATGGTGCGCGGACGTTGCAAGGTATTGAGACCAGATGGGGTATAGAATTTAGGGAAGAGAAAGTAGCCAGGGGCAAGGAGGTGGGGGGATTGATGTTTACAGTTTATAACATCTTTTTTTAAGTGCACAAGGAAAGAAAAAATTGAAATAAAAATGGTCCGGGCCAGGTTCGGTTCGTTTGGCCCTGAAAAGACAGCGGTGTGTGTGAGTGGAGGCAACTAGTCTATTTTCAAAGGATGTTGGGCTTGAGCTTGAGAATTGAAAGTGGGGCTGGCCACATGAACTTGCGCAGTAGTATACGAAAATAAATAATAATAATTTTCTGAAACCAATTTACTTGACTCATTTGGGAGAATGAGGCGAGTGGTCTAGGGAAAATTGTTATGTATAGTATGTGCAAATTGCATGGAGGGAAATGAAAAGAATAAAATCTTACTACCGAATAATAATAAACGATTACGACTCACGACTGAGAAGCTAAAAAGCTAAAAGGCACTTTCCTTTCTTAGTTCGTGTGTCAGAATATTACTAGAAGGTTTAAGGTGGAATGGAAGAGGGAAGCATAAAAAGACACCATCCGTTGTTGATGCGGCGTTGTAACCTTGGCAAGCCACTATACCAAAGTCTCCTTAAGACTTCCTGCAGCCTAGTATGAATATCCTGCTTATGCTTTCGTAATCCTCCTGATATTTGTTTTTGCGTCGGCCAACTTGAACCAATACAATATAATAGATGAAAAGGACGAATCCTCGCACCCAATCAAACATACAACCATCTCGAAAATTGACTTCAGAGGCTGATGAAAAATCACACTAGAGAAATTCAGAAACCATCAGGTGCCGCTTGTACACACCAACCTTTTGATCTACATAAACTTTTAGCTGCATACGTGCGCAACATTACAATCTCCATTCGAAGCAAGTCAACCAATCACAGATGAAGGCTTGATTGGTTGCACCCACCAACCCAAAATAATCAGTCAGAGATTAAAAGCACCTTGTCTTTTGCTGATCTTAACCGTCAAGCGAATGGCTTAAAGGCCGTGCAGAAAATGTACACAGACTCGACCACCAACTAAACTTTTGTCGCCTTCATCGCGTGGGATTGGGTAGCTGAAAACAAGAGCCCTTGTTAATTGTGAAACGAGCCTACGAATCCACAATTTACTCGAGTCCTGCTAAATTTATGTTCTGGAAAAATTATGGAAGCCAAACTTCCTTGCTTGCTTTTATGAGCGAGGAGGCTTATCCCTGTGATCTTATCTAAGGAAGTGCAACTTGCGAAATCTAGAAAGATATCAAAAGGGAAAAACAGGGCAGCGCATAAATATTAACTTTGATATGATCGATCATCGGATATGCAATACGATGTCAAAGTCACAGTAGATTGTGTACTTACGTGTTCATTGTTAACTGCATTACCAGGTTCTTCCTTATATTGACGATGGGACATTTTGGCGGATGACGTCTAATTCAGTTAGCACTTGATCGATAGCCACAAAGATACCAGCCACCTAGAGACAACCGTTGAAAAAATAATACTAGGAAATGGTTGTTTATGTAAAGCAAGGGATAACAATGTATTCATGCCATGCGATGCCATGCGACATCCGTGCTTGGTGCAAGATTGCAACATAGTGAGAAAGGGTCCAACTCACAGTTAACGGGTAACGGACGATTCGGTTTGAAGTTTCGAAGGTTTGTTGACGCGTTCGACGGGTGGGATATGAAACGAGTTCCGTGTATGGTGTAGATCGCTATTTCTGCAAGTTTCTATATTAGCTTTTATCCTCATTTCAAATTGTCTCATGTCACTTCAATGCGATCGTCGAAAGAGAATGTATCCATAGTGCGAGGCTATGCAAGGAAGAGAAACGTCAAGTTGCCCCATTGTGAATTCTCCGAGTACGGAGATCCAGTTGCGATGAACCTAACAGGTTACAGATGCAGAAAAGGATGATACGATCAGTACAAGTGGATACCAATAATTGATTCAATTGACCTTCAAACCAGGGATTGAATGGAATCAATTGATTTTCTGTTCCTGTCGAGTCTCTGGAGCTGGCGAGGCTGGCGAACACTAGGCAATTTGATAGAAGCCCAAAATACACCTGAGCAGCTGATGCGCCTGTTCTGTAATACGACATGGGCCGGACCGACGATGCCCGTCCCAAGATCGCTGGTGTGGATAGAGGATTCAGACGGGGCAGGGTTTGGTGGCGCAACTTAGACATTTCCCTGGCAGGGTATGCTTCCTGGGGTACGCGAGGGGCCTTATCCATCTAGTAGTCACTGGACCATTGGAGAGATAGTTTGATGCTGAGAACGTAAAGACTATGTTTGAAGCTTACAGTGTTAATGAAGGGTGAAGGTTGGACAGTAAAAGTCGGTGATGAATTTAAGGACCTGATTCTCATGTTAGTTATGTTCCAAGAAATATTGACAGTAGAAAGCCAGCGAAAAATTGAATTACATGCATACAGCACAATACAAAGTACGGATGAACCAGAAATCTGATAATGACGCAACAATATGAGTGAGGCTGATAGCGGAAGAACAAGGCACAGCGATAACCGTGGTAAAATACCAGGTCTTCTAAGAGCGAGCGGATGGACAGATATATTATAGAAACATGGGTAGAACGATTGGTAAACAACAGACGACCAGATTCAACATCGTGATTAGAAATATGGAAAAGGTTGCAACCCATACAAGGGCCATAAAGCTGGTCATCTGCAACAAGCCTTGCAAGCGGATGACACTTCGCCTAAATATGTGGTAGTGGATAGAGAGGCAAGGATGAGAAGCACCTCGCAGTAATGGTTCAATAACAGTACATCGAGGGGTGGAGAAAATGAAGAGAGTTTAATCTAGAACACTTACTTGTAGGAGTTCCTCTCGAAAGAATTCTGGTGACTGTGAAGGTCCGGCCAATATGCACCGCTGGGGTGTAGAGTTGCAGATAGATGGTGGATGGTTGGTTTCCTCTTTGCTGTAGGATTTTAGTTAGAAAGCTATCCCATGTAAAATAATACCCTTGAAGGAGGGCAGCCCTGCTCATTCACCGATAAGCACTCGATGGATTTTCTTATCGCAAAATGGTCCTTGAAATAGCTGTGAAATATTGAATATTGATTTGTGGCGGTAAGAGATCTTCGAAATAATTGAAGAAGCCCCGATGGCAATTCAATGATGACTTGTACTTAAAATGGATGCCTTGATGGGAGATGAATTGAAATCGACTTACGGGATTAATTGCGGATGTAGGTGGATGTGTGCGGGCAATGCGCCGTGCAATGATTCCCACGTTTAGCTCTTCCCAATGGTTATTTTTATATTCTCGATCTTCCGATTTCCGAGTTCCTGCTCTCGATATCTTCGATTTAGGTTGGAAAAAGTCCCAATGAAATCAAAGGTCTAACCGAACTTGCAGACGCAGACCGAAGTTCCAGGTGAGTGGTTACAGTTTATGCTCGTCGAGTATCTCGGGGATGGATGGCTGCCGCTGAAGATCGTGGGCGGGTATGTAGTAGTCGACTGGGGTATCTTAATCTTTGGGAATATTGGGTAGATCGAGTCTGGGTAACACGAAAGGTTAGCATTTGTGTGAAGTTCGCATGCAGCTAGCTAGTTAAGAGGATTGGTACCAACGATCGCAAAAGTCTAGCTGGAAAGGTGTTTTGTCGAAGAGTTTGTTTTTGTTGAAGTGAAATCTTGCTTGGTAAATTGCGGTCAAGAAAATCACCTCTGCGCTATGGTTCGAAACGGCGCGTCTTCTCTTTTGTACGAGATACCACGTTGATGAGTTGTACAGTTGGTGACTCTGTTGTAACCTGAGCACATTGCACCAGGATGAAAATATCGCGAGGTCGAGGTGATGGGATACAAGAAGGTTGCCGGTAAGAATCGCTAAATCCCACAAAGCTGTATGTGCCCGCGACGCGCTTCTTACCAAATGTGGAGGCGTTCGACAAATTCACTTCACTTGAAGAATTCCAGAGATTTGGTAGGAGAATGGGGAAAAATTAATTGCATCTCACCTTTCGAGATAATTGATAAAAACTGTTGTACGGCGAATTCCGAGGACCGGGACCGTATGTGAATAAAAGTATTGATGTATCGGTGTCAAGGTACAGAGTGCAATGACCTCACTCTTTTTGACCTAATAGTAAATTAGAATATTATTAGTTGTTGAGGTTGTTGTCTTTGTGATGGAGAAAATCTTATTATTTCAACCGTCTTGGAGCCTTTCATCAGATTGGAGAACTTACATCAAGAATACAGCAGGTACGAGTTCGATTGGGCAGGTAGGTCCTCAATGCCCTTGTGATTTAATGTCTATGTTGGTATTTCTCCAAGTGCTGAATTGAATCATGATTAGTCAAAACCATAAAGCTAACGTGTTCGTATTCGCAAGTGAATGATTGAAGTTACTCACAATCCAAACTTCTTGTGAATACATCAAATTCCACAACTGCTCACAATCGCAACGCGGCAAATTCTCAACATCAATGCGTTCCGAATAGCTTCAATTTTGCGGTTCCCAAAAGGCGGTGATCAATAATTTATTTTTCTGCCAAATGGTTCTCTGCGGAAGCAAGGATTGCAATTACACCCGTTTGTGATGGAGATCCTTGTCGTCGATTGCAGAAAAAAGCTTGACTTACACGGCTGGGTTGTTGTAGCTGTCAACAAATGACAAGTGCAGTGCAGGGCTTCTGCTTAGAAACTGGGATGATCGATTGTTGTCCAGATATTTGGGTTTAGAGTTGCAAGGCCAGCAAGGTCAAGGGCTCAAAGCAAAGAGGGCTGAAATTTGAGGGGAAGACGTAGGGATGAACAGAGACGATGAAGAAGTGCTCGCTTCACTAGAGGTAATGGTGTAAAACTGTGGAGTGTTTGCAGCTTCAACCTTGATTGAAAATGGAGATGAACGGTGTCGGGATCATGGGTTGTGATAAACTTTGGAGGAAATTGGTTGACAAGGGGAGTGGAATCAAGAAGGAAGTGAGTGAGTGCGAAAGGACGAAGAGTCACATCCAGCATACTGCAAAGAAATAGTACTGTATTAGAATTTAGGGGCAATTCGCCATCAACACGCTCATAAACTGCTACCTGTAAACTTTTGCAAAAGTTCTTACTCTTTCCAATTAGCGTTACAACTAACTTGCAAGTTACAACTACCATCTACGGTACATCAAATAAACCTGCCCTGTCCTGTCGAGCGAGACTCAAGAGTCAAAAGACGGTAAGAATCTTTGAAATCAAAGTATGCCGACACAATCGGTCAATCTGAAATCGAGTCCTGTTGCTCTTGCAAAGTTGAGAGCCGTCATCCAATCAATGGCTGCCATCGATGACAATCCATTACTATCGCAATCTATTAAGTTTTAACCCGTGAGAAAGGAAAGGCTTTTCGATAAAGTTTCTACCGAGTGCATATTAGTATGCGTGCATGACACCAACATCCAAATCTAAGCCTCTTATAGTATCAAACCAAACATTTCGATCACTCGACCATCAGAAGTGCAAATGCTCCTCGAAATAAAACCGGCAATAAGCATGAACGGTTCCAGTATGAACTGCAGACTCCAATTACAAAAAAGCCACAATATCACTATCCGAAACAATCATGTTGATTGTCCAGCGGCTCGATTCTTCCACCAAAAGGCCGCGCAACTTTGCGTCGGAGATATTCCCTATTCGGTCATTCGAGAGACGTGATCAACACCGGTAGGATTTGAAAGGCTAATCGTTGTGGATAGAGTGGTACGAGATGGCATGAAAATGTTGGAATTGCCTCCTTGGCATACTGTGGTGATATTTGGTCTGTTTCGGTTCGTGAGGAGGAGCCTTTGGAAATAAGTTTCATGATGATATTCGCACGCATGAATCACGTATAATCGCTTCAGAGCATGTGATGATTCGTTGTGCCGATGGTTTACTCTTTTCAGGCGCGATTGTATAAAATCACAATGAAAAGGAACTTGAGGGAAGGAATTCTAGCAGTGAGAAGTTTTCATATGGCCTGCTTTACTCTGCACTAAATAAAGCCTTGGCTCTGATTAGGAATCTGCTAAAACATCCACGTAGACTTGGAAAGGGTTTAATCTCATGTTAGTCGGAGAAGCTAACATTCGACCGTTGGTTCCTAATACCTAAAAAGTCCGGAGACCGATATCTGTCTTCAATTCATTGTCAAATTCCGTCATTATGCAAATGGAACAGAAATGAGCAAAGGAAAATTCCGTATGTGCAAAATGACGGTGAGCTGGTACAGTAATCATGCAACGTCTAATTCTCACCCGCTCACTGAAATGCCGAAAGTTTACATCTGGTGAAGGGGGAGTGCAATTTTATCACAAAATTCGGTCTCGCCGTCTACCAATAAGACTGGCTAATCAATTCGCTTGCCGTCTTCTCGCATTTGCACCCACTCCAATATCTCCTTTTCTTTCCTTCTTGGACGCTCTTTTTCCAAGTTCGTGTGGAGATGCCTTCCAGCTTCCGGACCACCTTCATGACCAATCAATATCCTAGTCACAACCGTTTTACCCGGGCAGCGCAAAACAATCTCTTCGACCTCCTTCACTTGATTCTGAAAGTTTATACGCGAAGTCATGATAGAATCCGAGTTCACGACATAAGTGATAGATGTTGAGGCTCACACCAAGTGACGTTGGAAAGATGGATCTTGATAGCTATTAAGTTTATTCTAATCCATGGTAGATTCCCAGGCTGAAGAGCCCAGTACCGGCATCGTGAACCATTCGTGGGGTGCTTGCGTTGGGGTTGTAGACCCTCAAGGTCCTTCAAAAGCCTTGCACGCTGTCCTTTTGCCCTGCTGCCTCGGAGAATTAGACCGTGGTAAAAATGAGCTCCCCTCGAGGATTGTCATCTCACACCAACATGACCTGTCAGAGCGGGAGGGAAGGGGGGCCACGGTACACTTCTTTGGGGAATGACGATCTTGGATCTTGATTTTCAAGCATCCTCTACACAATCACTATTACGGAGTATAGCTTACATTTTTCCTGTCGGATATGGACTCAACATTATCGCCGCAACTACGCTGATAGCCTCTTCATGATCAACCATTCATAAGGAGCTTTTGGGACTCAGGTCCGAATGCCATCATGCCACCGAGGTAAATTCCATATGCGCCCTGGTGGCACATAATCACACGAAGTAACGTTTTGACTCCATTAACAACAGAACCAATAGCAATAAAGAAATCAGGCAAAGAAGTCGCGCATTCCCGAAACTCAACGGCAAAAGTTCCTGCTAAGAAGGAAAACATCCCGTCATTTCTTCAACGCCTATTCGGATTGCATATCCCTACTCCATTGTACGATTAAACGACGATTTGGTTTGTGCGCTTGCATGGGAAATTTATCACAAGGATTGAGGAAGCTGCTGGGCTTGTCGGTGGAAGACGCCACAACACCCTGAAAACTTTCCTTGAATCCATCCCCTGTTATGCGTGTTAAGACACCTAAAACCAAACCGTTGCACACTTTCATTTTTTGCCTACCAGCCCCTGTTTGACAGCTTGTAATTCCTTGTCGACATTAATGCTTGCTTGCACTTAGATTAGTTCCCACATGGGAAAATGTCAATATCAACCTCATGGCAAATATGCATGGGATGATGGGACACACTTGTACCTTACAGCGAACAAAAATCATGTGAATTTTCCATCAAATTTTGAGTTACGATAACGATCACTGGAAGATTCCCCAAGTACACGTAACTTACTACCTGGGTCACGGGAAACACATTCTGTATCTAGCCGTTCAATCGAAAAGTCGGGTCGCCACGAGACCCGAGTAACTAGATAGGAATTATGAATTCATGGCAAGTCCCGTGGCGAATAGACTCTTGGTTACCTCGCTGCATTACTCGACATACTATTTGCAACATATCTCTTCTCTCGTTCTCTTATTTTTAGTGCTTCCGAAGTCCTTCAATCTCTGATAAAGAGAGACCGAGATGAGCAACACGATGACTTATCTAACGGAATATACCTCAATGGAGTATGGCCGTTTGAGAAACATCGTATCATGCTGCATTAATACCTTTAGCCGTAGAACATAAGTTGGAACACGTCTAAACACGAAGCTATTTTTGGTGTTTTGGAAATGGCTAATAGATTGATTGAAGATCAATCAGCTCCATTCCAAGTTGCGGGATAATCGTTTCGAGTCTTTCGACCCAAAACTCCACAAGAGCACAAGAGCAAATAGATTGTGATCAGCGCCAGATCGGGACATGTCGCGAAACCAAAAAGAAGACTCTGACGACGTTTGAAAGAGCCTAAAGTAAAGCGCCCTCGAGACCGCCCAAACTAACTCTCAACGTCCGCATGATTCGCGGCGTGAATCCTCACTTACGGACATGTACGATAGCTTATCCAAGATTGAAGACATCGTCAATGGCTTTTCCTCAATCCTACTCTGCCATATTTTACGTACGTAGGGCACTTGAGATATTTCCGACACCGAATCCTAGACACTCGCTTGAGGGGGAAGCTGATCCGAATGTAACTTTCAGGCTTTACGGAAGAACTTACGAGAGCCCTTGATGCATGCCTTATTATCTTACCCGCTTCATCTGAATCAAGATACCAATCTTCACCTCTCATCAATGCTCCAATGAACTGGCACGGTCTTGGGATTAGGACTCCACCATTTCCCTATCTCCAGTGATAATCAAATCTACTTACAGAGCGACAAACGGGGCTCAATTTTGAGTGCTCCCTGAATTTCCACCCCCACACATCCATTCCCACATACCATAGTTCTAGACCTATCTTTTTACGATATATTTTGTCTACAACAGCTCCCTACGGAGTCACAAGGCGGCAGTTACGCTTGATTCGGTAAACAAATTATTTATTAATCTAATTCCAATGCTTCATGCATAAGAAAGTCCACACGGGACAATGTCAAAAAACCGATTAGAACGACGAAATGAATTGTTACCATTCTGGTGATAGCTTTTACAACCATTTTCAAAGATACATTTCCTTTGAATGAGGGAAAAAAGGAAAAACACTGCCACGTCGAGAGTTGCTCCGAGACATCCGGGTAATAGATCCTACTGGCTCAAACTGGATAGAAAACTCAAAAAGCAGCAATGTAAACTCACATGATCTGACACTCCAATACGGCAACGGCCAACTTCCGCGCACCAATGAAACACAAGTACAGCCTTATACGTCGTTGCTGATATACCCTCCATCACGAGCAAGTCCCGATCTCAGCACACCTGCGATGAAACGACTTGAACGAATGAGCATCTGCTGGTCGCATATCTGCTGAAAAATAGATGATGCCGATATACACGTATCACGATATCAATATGATCAAAGGTAACACCATCTTGGCTGCATCTTATCGCATTTTTGTGCAGTCCAGTACAGAATGGTACAGTCACTGGTACTCGACATGAATAGCATACCACCACACTACGTATCGCCGAATCGCCACACCCTCATTGCCGTATCGCACTCCCCATCTTGCAGTTACCAAGCCTAAAAGGATTGCGCCACGTGCTGTGCCTCTCCTCCGCATGAGAGATTTTGCCCTTCTCTTTCTCAGCTTTGGCGGTCCCCGGACATTGGGATGAGCAACTGGGCTCGCTGGGCAAATAATGAGGATAGTGCGCAGCGTAATGAAATCCTACTCTGCCTTCCCTTTCTCCTGCAGCATGCATGTGCTGACACGGAAGGATTCGTGACCCGCAGGACCGAGCAAGCCACAATATAAGATTTGATAGAAACATTACTCACTCTGGAAATCAAACCATTCAGAAGATTGGAAATATTATCCCTTTACGAAAGTACGGAGGGTAGGTGTTGTAGCAGAAGTACTACTGGCTGGGGATAAGATACCGGAAACTAGTTTGACGGGAAAAGAAATTCAACCAGAAACCAACTCAAACAACAAAAAGTCATTCCGTTGACCGTGTTTGGAAACTGCTAATGCAGCGAGTTTTGACTGCAGTGTTCCTCTTCCTGCATCCAATCTCTCCCAAGTCTTCCGAATTGTTGGTAATCATCATCAAACGAGGAGAAAGCTATCTACAAATCACAATCTCGAATTCGTATCGCATTTCCCTTTCGCATCCTTCACCGCTTTAGGTATGTGCTTGTAGAGTATCTTCCTCGTAAACAGTGCCAATCGTGCTCTCTCGATTCATCAAGCAATCAATCAATAAATCACACAATAATTCGCACATAGAATCAGGTAGATGTAATAAAATATTAATCGGTGAAGCATGCATTCACACTGCACACTAATGAAAGAAGAATACAAAATATGCAGTAGGAAGGTTGTGTGAGCTACTCTTATTAGCATATTGAATGCAAGCATGATATAATCAGGAAATCTCTAAAAATAAGACCTTGGAATTGATTTCTTGGAACCTCGTTACATGTCTGCAAAGTCGTTATTTGGGAAAGTTGGGATGTGTATGTGTGTATGTATGTATGTATGTATGTATGTAGGAGGTATATTGGAAAGCTAAGAAGATCAGATGGAGACAGTTACGCACACGGATCACAGATCCAGAATCGAAACGCACTCGAAAAGCAAAATGCAATAGAAATGTCGTGAACATGTCGTGAAATCCCGTAGTTGAGTAATGTAATCGGTAACCCAAATTCTGGTACAGTAGCACTCCAGATGTTGTGAAGTTACAGCACATGTTATTTATCGAGACGGGATGCAGGAAGCCGTTTGGTGGGATGGGTGAATCGGCGACTGGGCTGCTGGGCTGCTGGGCTGGGTGTTTGGAGGTGCCGACTTTGCTTGCTTGCTTGCTTGCTTGCCTTTCATGGGGACCTGGAAATGAAAAAGCGTTTCTGGGGTCTCGCTTTTTCTAGGGGTACGGTGACATCGACGAAGATGGTTGTCCTTCGTTTCTTTCATGGGCGGTCCCTTCTTTTGGGTCCAGAGTTGAAGAACTTGGGTTCGTGCTACGCTTGTTATGCCTGGAGACATGGTTGATCTGAATTGTCGGGATCGTGGCGAACACGTGATATATCTCCAATTCATGGTTCACATTGTACAGTACAGTATTTGAGGTCGTATTCTAGTTGAAGCTTTTGAATCGTGAAATCATTTTCACATCGCGAGTTCCGTCGTGAATCTAGGCTTGGACGTATCAAATACTTCATACATCATTGTCCCCATCGCACGCGTGGGTTTAATCAAGTACCTATGATGTTTTTCCAATCGCGCAAACAAACTAATTATCACGACATCTGCCTGAATAGGAAATTTCCGTGTCACACCATCTTCTGCGTCCAAAGATAAACCGTGAAGCGACCTCTGATACGCATCAATCGATGTGGTATTCGGTCTATCTGCTTCATTTTGATTGATGAAATTCTGAAGATGGTGATGTGTGGTTGGCTCCCTATCTCAAGTGAGGGGAAACCAGGTATTTGGCCGTCAAATGTTGTGGATTTGGTGTGCGAATATTGGGGGTTTGGAGGTGGATCTTATCAGCTATGGTTTTCTGTTGAATTTTTCACTGTGTAGTATTTTTGAGGACTGCTCTTTAAAGTCTTGAAATCCAGGAGAGTGATTTGCTGGAGTTGGTATTCGCAATAACTCAGTATCAAAATGGCAACTTCAATTGATGATGAGAAGCATGTGACGTCTTCTCCTGCACAATCGAAGAGTGAAGCCGTGAATAATTCATCATCAGCTGCTGCAGCTCATCTGGATGATAACTATGCTTTGTTTCAAGATGCTAGGGATATCGAGGTCGATCCTCAAGAAGCGAAGAGAGTGCTTCGAAAGATTGATATGCGGCTCATGCCCATTCTTTTCATCACGTATATGTTGCAATATCTAGACAAGAATTCTATCAACTTCTCAAGTGTGTATGGATTGCAAAAGGGTACCCATCTGAAAGGACAAGAGTATTCCTGGCTGAGGTGAGATCATCGATATGCATTGTTCCTTCATGATACTTTTCAGGCCATGCTAATAATGTATATAGCTCGATTTTCTACTTCGGCTATCTGTTCTTTCAATTTCCATCAGGTTACTTCCTCCAACGCCTTCCTATTGGAAAATTTCTCTCTTTAACCACTATTGCATGGGGTGTGATTCTCATCACAACTCCAGCATGTGTCTCCTTTGGCGGCATAGCAACCAATCGATTCCTCCTCGGCGCCGTCGAAGCAACCATAAACCCTGGTTTTGTCCTTTTAATGTCCATGTGGTACACGTCTGCCGAGCAACCTCTCCGTCTTGAAACCTACTACTGTACTAACGGCATCGCAACCATGTTTGGAGGTCTCATCGGCTACGCTGTTGGACACATTACCACCGGTCTCCCAAAATGGATGTACGTCTTCCTAATCTTCGGAGCGATCTCCATCTTCTGGGGCGTAATCTCCCTCATTTTCCTCCCGGATCTCCCTTCCACAGCCAAATTCCTCACGCCCCACGAACGTCTCATTGCCGTTTCCCGCGTAGCATCGAATCGTCAAGGCGTAAAGAACCATCATTTCCAGACCTATCAAGCATGGCAAACGGTCAAAGATCCTAAAACGTGGATCCTATTTGTCATGGCTGTCGGCGCACAAGTCCCCAACTCTGCTCTTACATCTTTTACATCTATCATTGTCGGAACCTTTGGTTTCGATACCCTCGGTACCCAGTACCTACAAATTCCCGGCGGAGCAGTGCAATTCCTCGCGCTAATGGCGGGTGGATACATATGCACGAAATTCCCTCGGAATTCAAGATGCATCACCATGATAGTCGCCAACACGATTTGTATTCTCGGTTCGGGATTGTTGGTTGGTCTTCCAAGTAGTAATAAATGGGGACGATTAGTAGCGCTTTGGCTATGCTATTTTCAGGGGTTAGGATTTAGCATGAGTCTCACGATGGTGAGTAGTAATATTGCGGGGTATACGAAAAAACAGTTGACGGCCGCGGTGCTGTTTACGGGATATTGCGTAGGGAATATAGTTGGACCGCAAACTTTTATTAAAAGTGAAGCTCGTGAGTGTGCCCTTTTTTCTTCTCCGTTCATGTCCCTCTTCCATCCCTAGTTTCTGTCTCGTGAATGCTGGACTAACATGACTAAAGCCGGATATCACTCAGCGTACATAGCAATGTTAGTAGGTTATTCGGTCAAACTAGCAATGGTTGTTGTACTGTACATTTACATGTACTCAAGTAATAAGAAAAGAGATGCAGAGCAGGCGGCAAGAGGAGAAATAAGTGAAGAAGAAGAAAGAGAGGCTGTGGAGAAGGGTATGTTGGATATGACGGAGATTGACAATAGAGGATTTAGATATATTTTGTAGATAGAAATATGTTAGGGAGAATGAATAGATAAAGTCTCTTCGTACATCTTTATGGATTTGGGTGTGAACTTCTTGATGAGATTTAGTAGCTACTTTCACGGTTATTTAAAGTAAATCGAGTCAGTGGTAATGCGTTTGATGATACTCGTTGAACACAGTCTAGATATCGGAAACTGAACCAAAATGCCTACCCCGAATGATTGAACACGGTAAGAATCACAACTGACCTACCGGATCCTGTTAATATCACCTCGTTGGTGATTATAACGTCTTCATAGTTTCAATGCATTGATTGATATTGTGTCTATCTTATTCTAGATTCAAAGCTACGAGAGCTATCTGCAATACGTTCGTGCGCTAGTGCACTCACGTATGTATATTCACTTGAATCGCGACAGATCCTGAGATTGACGAAATGTTTCTTGGCTACTCAATCTTTCTTTCCAACCCTTTCTTTGCCTTTGATGCTGCTCTTACTCCTGCTGCTGGCCTCGCTGCCGCTTTTACTGATACTATCTTCCGTATTACCTCCCTCAGGATCTGGGGGTTGAGAATTCTTTGCCTGATCTCTACGCATTCTTTCTGACCTAGAAGTAGTTAGAGAGTTGCGCCCTATAGTTCCGGCTTGCTTCAGTAGCGGATTAGACTCGGAGTTGACATTCGTCCTCGTCGTGTTATTGGCAGCCTGAGGCTGATGCCTATCTCCTCCATCTTGATTTGTGTGATTTGCTTACCATCCAGTCAGGTACCCATTGATGATGTCAATCTCAGAGCAAATTTCCTCGATATCAAAATATTGCGCCATGCTATAGGCTCCGCCGAAGAATACCAACCCAATGATGTACAGTGCGAATACAAATTTCGTGTTGCTAGGCTCTGCAGTCCCAAAATTCCCCAAATACACCCCCAAAGCAATCACTAACATTGTGAGTGAGATTGAAAGAAGCAGTTGGGGTGCAGAGGCTGTGATGACTGATGATGCGCTCGGGATAAAGCAACGAGCTTTTATTTCTTCGTCGACTGACCAAACCCATCTTTTGGCACCCGGTTTCCTTGAACTTCCCCTGATCCATCGACGTATATCTTCCCCTGTGAGTAGACGATTAAATCTACGCTGCAGGCAGCTGACATAAAACACAGCTAGAATTGCAAATATCAAGCTCGGTACAAAAGACGTTTTTGTTAGACAATATGCCTGATTTGAAAGTTCCAGTGATAGCCCAGTCACGGCTATCTGAGCAACAACAGCAGCCTACCCAGTATTAGTATTAGAAATATTGTAGATAGAATTTGGGAGACAGACAGCCACAGCAACCATGTTACATTCTGCGAGCGTTGAATTTTTGAATTCAGTAGCCCTCGAGTTATCAGGTCGATCTTGTCCCTCTTTCAGCTCACCAAGGACTTTTGCCTGCATACACCAAGTAGTGCGGCTACCGAAAACAAACAGCGGAATGGCAGAGGATCCATACAACTCGAATAATTGCCGGACTCTATTTATGTAGCGCAACATTATATGAAAGAGCGTCAAGACAAATCTCGTTGGCAAAAGACACAGTGCGATGAACAAAAATTTGCGAGCGGTGCGGATTATCTAGACCGCAACACTTCGAAACCAACTCACTGTGCCTATGGAAGTAGATCTTACTCATAAATTAAATATCTTTGGTTTCTTGAATGAGGAAGGTAAAACCACTTAATGTAATTGGATCGATAGGGAGGGGCAAGACTTTCCCTACATGTGATACCGGTATGCTTGATGTCCAAAGTATTCTCGCAATCATTATCAAGTCAGCTTCAACAATGCTATCCTCTCTCTTCGCCATGTTTTGTCACAGGTCTGTATGGAAACCCGGCTAATTATCTCGGTATCACGTTTTGATTGCAATTGTTTGTTTGGCAAATGGGCAACCACTTGACTTTCGATTTACAAGAGGGGTACAATACAGAGTGCTATGATTATGAGCGGCATGCCGTGGCAGATTGAGGGATATTCATTTCGTTTGCTGAACTACGGGTCTGAGGACATTTAGGCATTTGATTTGGATATCAATCAAATCAGTGTTGTTTGAGCGGGGCAATCAACTCATCCGGTTGACCACGCTTGTGATTTCAGCAATCTATCTCCAATGTTTGAATCGCACGTCTGATAATAGTAAGAACTCAGGTAAAATGCTGGTGTCCACCTTGAGAAGTTTGTATGGTTAACCCCATGCCTGCGCGTGAAATTGGCTCTTTTCATTATCACACGTGTAACCGTAGCATACCATCCGTTTTTCTGAGGTCAATTTGCTTTTCGCATTGCTCCTGTTCCAACTAAGTTCCTATACAATTTCCTTATCCTAAGTTTTGCCGGTGAATGTTCAGACTTTATTAATCTCCCCCCATCTCATTCTACACGGTAGTAGAAATTTCCTCGAATCCTGTGCTAGAAATTGGCTTCAGAGTACCATTCTGAAAGCACCAATAACGGTCAACATTCCATCGAGACAACAAATTAGGGTGACTAGCTATGTATTCGTTCATATACCCATCGATGATATCAGATGCGGAACCCTCATCTCTGCCATGGAACCACCCCAAAGTTACATATATACCACCAGAGAAGTATAGCCCAGTAAAGTACAATATGAAGACATTTCTCGAATCGGTAGCTGGTTCTGTAGAATCTAGCTCACGAATCCAGAACTTACCTAGATATATCCCCAGACCGATGAGAAGTAGAGAAAGAGATCCAGAAAGCAACATCTGAGGAGCAGAAAGGGTGATGACGGATAGAGGGCTTGGCAGAAAACATTGCCTCTCAAAATCCCTCTTGAGATCACCAATATCCAAACCGTCCGGTGAGTAGTCGTCGGGCTCACAAGGATTAAGCTTGGACCAAACTGCCGTCGAAAGGATTGGGTTGGATCTTTGTTTTCTCCCTCGTATCCAATGACGAACATCTGTTGCTTTGATCAACCGACCGAGAATTCGTTGCTGAGTAACGGAATAGTATACCGATACCAAAGCGAAGGTTAGACTCATCACAAAACAAGACTTTGCTGTCCAATGAGTCTTGTTCAAAGAGTCCAACGACAATCCTGTAATAGCAATTTGGGCAACAATTGCAGCCTTTTCTTTTCGTCAGTACTCGGAAGACTTGGCGTCGGGCTCAGCTCACAGCTACGGCGATCATGGTACATTCATCGCATGCCATCTTTTTGAATGCTAACGCGTCTTCGTCTTGTAACTCGCCAATGATTTGTGCTTGTAGTAGCCATACTGCACGACTTCCATACATCCTGAGAGATATGGCACCAATACCGTACCATCTCCATTGTTGAGCGGTTGGCAAAAGCCTCTTAATTGTGTCGAATGAAAGCGTCGGATATATTCAAACATTGAAGCAGAAAAATCGTTTGTACTATGAATTTTGAATTGCAGGTTTATAGTTATAGCTGTAGAAGTGGGCCGTCCAAGTGCTTGGTCTGTGTAAAACTTGGAGATTATCATTGCCGTGGCAATTTATATCATGTGGGGTTGAAGATCCCGTGTGATGTTGCACAACTCGAATAAAATGACTGTGTACATATGCTTATTAAAATACATAGGGGAGAGATCTGACTGCAGATGTCAGCATCAACGCTCTAAGGCTTACATACGCAGAATCAAGGATGATTATGACATAAACGCAGACAAGATCTCATTGGAAAGTGAATATATGTACTTCTTACCTTGAAATTTTCTTCCGCTTAAACAATAACTCAAGTTTGTGACATAATAACCTCGTAAAACTTCCCTCCCCGGTATCTTGAAACTCAGAACATCATGTGTTGATCTTGCTCCTAGCCCCTTATTTATGTCTCGCTTCGCTCATAGCCTTCAACCTAACCAATTTAAGCCATTGGTTTCGACTAACTCGAGTGGAGACGATAAATTGGGAGTATACTCCAGCTAGAACTTCTATGCATATTCTGCTGCAATTGTGCTGTCACAAAAAAGTTGAAGCTAGGTACGGTCACTCCCGTTCTTTGAATTTGCGCACTGTCGCGCATCATGATTAGTCATGCAATACATTGGAGATACAGCCTTAACAGAGACACTAAGAGTTTGTTACGGTTACATTTGTAGACGATAATCATCTCAAGCTCGAAGGTACGGCTCTTACAGATTGGCTTTACGGCAATTGTACTGCAGTATGCGCGATCTGATGACTAAATGAAGATGATTAGCGTCTGCTGAAATTGTCGCTTAAATACAGCACTGTCATTTTCACTATGTTATTGTCAAAATTGAGGATCATATACACATCTGAGCTTATGAATTGGGAACCGTATACATGAGCGCGATATCAAGAACATAGATCAGTCTCTGCTAAGCTTGGTAATCGTGAATGATACAGCCACGAACAACGACAGCGACAACGCCGTAAGTATTTCCATGCCTACTTAAGCTAAGAAATCCCCATTCTCTCTCTCCCTTTTTCTCCTTCTTGCAGAATACTTCTTCTACAAACAAATCAAACCGCAAGACCAATCATCGATTGCATAAAGACCACTCGACATCTTCATCTCAATTCTCAAACCAAAATACCCCCGAGTACCAATCAATCAGACGCGCGATCTTGAAATATTCAAACGGTTTTGGTTCTTCAAACAATCCAATGAACTCATCCGCCATGATTAACATGAGTGTTGATTCCAGATCGAATTCACCAAGTCTTCGGGCTCCAGGATTGTCATTCAGCTTGGCAATCCGTCTAAAGAATCCAGAAACGCTAAATGATCCACACAAGCCACTTCAATATCCATTAGCACCTCCAGATTTCTATTCTCGTTTTGCTGAAGCTGATACTGACGCCGAAATGGATTTTGAAACTGTAAGTTCTTGTCCTTTGTATCATAAAACAACAGTGCTCTTGCTAACGGTTATACAGGAATTCAATGACGGTATGGAAGAAGACAGTGAAAGTCAGGGCATGGTTGAAGACTATGAGCCCGTTATGATGAGACTTGAGCGTGAAGAGACTCGAGGAAGCAATTTCATCGATTGCCGACAGTGTGGCATCGCTTTCGATTATTCGCGAGCATCTTTGTGGGTGCCCGGCTATAAACGCACACCTCCAAAGTCCTTCCGAATTCTAAATGAGAATACGCATCCGCAGATCGTCCGATGCCCAAAATGCAATACAGAGAATTGTATGGGTTGCGAGAAATCTCCTCATGGCGACTGCTGCTCATACGCAAATTATCGCGTCGTCTGGCATGCTTTGTGCGCTGTTGACGATGCCATCGTTCAGCATCGTGTGGGGCCTTCATACCCAAGGGATCATAATCCTCTCGATGTGGCAGTCGTAAAAGCTTTGGATATTTTGATTGAACATATTCCAAAAAAAGACACCACCTCATTCGGATATTGCGAACTTATCCGAAAAAGTATGCTGTTAGACCAGGTAGCAGTTACTATTCACAACATGGATGAAGAAAATCGATTCGACACTGTCTGCTTACAGTCTTTGGCATTTGTACAAATACTCTCTCAGCGTCAAGATCTCTGTGGCTTGTTGTTTGAAGAGCGACTCCAGTTTTTGAGAAACTTGTCTCCTGGTGTCAGGGTTCTGGGATTCCCTGTGGCGTTCTTTACGGCCGAGCAAGTTTTTGACGCCGATCGATATGCGCCATTGACCTATCGTATCTGGCCTATTATACAACAGAGCTACCAGTCTGCGCATGACTTTCTGTCTTCAAATACTCAACTGAACGATTCATGGCCCGCTGTAATGTTGGCCCGAAACATTGTTCATCTTCATGATGAGTTGAAACCCAAGTCGTCCCCACCACTTGAACTTATAAGATTCGTCCAGGGCCAGAACTTGCAATCTTTCGCAGCACGCCTCGAGGAAATGCATCGAGTTGAGGGAACCCAGTATGGGGCCGTCCACACGAACACTAGGACGGGACCATCATCTTGGGTTACAAAAAAGCGCTGCCAAGAAGCCCAGGAAGCTGCCGAGGAAGACAAGGGGGGAAAGCGAAGAAAGACTACGAATTAGGTAGTGGGATACGATTTTGGGAGGAATGGGCTGTATGGAAAATCATCGGAAGAATGATCAAGGAATGATGGGAAATTAATGAAGAATCTGAACTGAAAAGCACTTTCGAGCTCGATTTTGAAAATGGGCAGAGAGATTTTGGGATATGCCAGGTGGCAACTGGAGGAAATAATGCTTGAAATGGATATTTCAGATTGAGATTTGGGATTGTCTCTATGGAAATATCTGGGACATGGAAAGCCATAATCAAGGGTTAGAACTTGTTGTTTAGTTAGTTTCTAGGATAACGGAAGAGCTATATCATTTCGGATAGCATTGTAAAAAAAGTTTGTGACCAATGATCACCCATCTCAACAATCAATACGTGCAAAATAAATGTGACAAGTCTTCTGAAGATTGCAATGCATTATCGCTAACAGCAGTATTTAGCTCTCGATTGTTGACAATTTGTCAGAATTAACGCACAGTCTTTCCTCCTAGAACTTTCTGTTTGCCCTTGTCTACTGACATCTGGAATCACAAAAGTACCTGAAAGTTGGATCAGTGCAATTGGCGTTTTGTTCCTGCTTGATTAACTTTTTACACTGTTAACATACCATTAACACTTGTTTACCACAGAGTCCTTGTATTTCAAGAATAGATAAACCTGGCTCTCAACTGAGAATGTCAAGTGTTCAAGTTAGTTATGACTGTTGTCTATGATAGTGTTCTTTGAAATCAAACAATTGATCTCCTTCGTCAATGTTTTTATTCTTTTGCTTGTCTGGTTGTTGTTCCCTTGGCAATTTTCTGCAAACAAGTCTTGTCTGCAAGTGGAAGACACTGGCTGTTATGCAACTAACCTAATCAATGTAATGAATTTAGTTCCACCTCTTGACAACTGGTCTTCTGTTTGCTATCGGATCTTTGCTTGATGCTTTACCAGGAGTTCTCAACTTTCTCAACCCAAATCTGCTTCTTAAATAACCTTTAGTCTTCTACTCTGCACATCTAAATGAGCACCCACTGTCAACCTCATCTTGGGTTTGCTTTGAACCTTTGATATCATAGAAATGACTATATCAATAAATATGTTATCAGTCTCTTGCCTGCATCTTTAAGTAGTTTTTGTAAAGCTGAAAAAGCATACCCACGTAGATGGCGCACTGAAATTGAACTCACAAATATCACAGAAGCATCAATTGGCATCTTTTCTTTAACTTTATTCAGTTCACCTAGTGAATAGTTTCCAGTTTTAGGATGGTTTGTCTCGGCCCAAGATGACTCGGTTATCTCCGAGGCTCAAACCCCCTCATTCTCATCTCTTACCAAGAAGCAAGATCTGGAGGATACTTTTGGTTTGTTTACCTAAGCTTCAAAATTCAGGCAATGAATAATTGATTGGAAGCTCTAAGACTACAGCAGGGGATTTTAATTTTTCTTTTAACTTCCCAAGTTTTTCAAAATCGGACATTCAGAATAACACCAAGAATCCCTTAGGAGTGATTCGAAAAATGTGTGTTGACAAAGCGATGGACTTCTAAACCATTGGAGCAAATTTCTGTCATAAGATACACTTTGAAATTTAGCTCCTTTGTCCTTCAGTTCCCAATCTTTTCACTCTCGTAATTAGAATCAATATTTCATCGGATATTGATTACGACTATGAGGGTGCTGTATAGCAGCACCCCTGTACTTATATTTAGTCGATAGCTGCTATATTTATACCAAATTCAATTATTCAGCAATATATAAACTTTCTTGAAAATGGTTTAATTTCTTTGTCGATTCTATAAAAATAGACAATAATTTTTTTTTCGATAATCAATTTTCACATCTTAAATTGAATTAGTTATAGATTTTATAACTATGCTAAAACATTGAAGTGAAGTAATAGAATTCTAGCGAGAAATGACCCATGATCAAATAGAAGTGGTAGGTAGCCAGTCAGTTTATCGATACGGCTTCCGAGAATTTGAGCATGTGTATATAGGTACTTAAACAATCTACATTTGAACCTTCTACTCGATTCATCATACAACCTACATCTTAATTAAGGTCTTTTCCAAATTGCAACTGCTCTCTCTTCTCTACGACTAAGCTTCCGACTCCATTAGGAATCTCAGAGAGATCTTGTGATTAAGTCAAGCTCTTTCCACACCTTCAACAACAGAACCAAGCCGTTTCCCAGGAACAACTTAACTATGTCCTTCTCTAATTCCTCGCAGGTCGCAGAACCTAAAGCAAGCCCCTGTTTCAACTACCAAGCACCAATACCAAATAATACAGGAAGAAAGGATGGATATTTGATCTTGCCAAACTTCAACACATCCACCGGCCCAATCAATCAAAAATTGGCCATAATAAAGAACTCAGAATGTCCAGAGCTACTTAAAGTAGCAGGTCACACAAGCAAAGCAGAAGATGAAGCTGCTTTTTGCCATGAAATGTTTTTCAACCAGCCATATTATGTTGCATCAGGACCCGAAGACAAAGATCCTGTCTTCACTGCGCAATTTTTCGGAGAGAGCGATGTCAAGAATATCACACTCGCGTACGAAGCCATGAAGGAGGCTCGCGAGATAGCACACCGAAAGAGCGCGGATCCAAACTCCCGAAATGATGTATCGGAATTCGAGCAGCGAATGATCGGTGGCTCTAAGAAGAAGATTCTTCAAAGGAGGGCATATGTCCAAGGCTTCACAATCACACAGCAGCAGGACGCGATCTGTGCCGCGCAGTTAAACGCAGCGATTATCGAAAATGCCGAGTCGATTGGAAGACTCAACCAGCTTATCGCAATAGCTGCTGGCAACCTGCTTGCAAATTGTGTGCCAAAAGAAGTGTTAGCTCGTCTTGCCAAACAGGCAGAGTCTGCTGTCCCTATTACATTTGGGCATGAAGATAACAAATTCTTCTGTAAGTATCACACTTCATCTGTTGACTTCTGTGAATATCGCTGACTATTATTAGCAACTGTCCAATACAATTACTCCGGTGTAGATATAGCATCCTTGGAAATGAGCCTTGGTAATTTTGGCGCTCTACATATCGATGGACATGACGACTCAGCAATGTGGACTGTGCTATTAGTATTGTCAAATATACCCGAGAGCTACTGGCCTGGCCGGACATTTGTATCTTCGCTCCGGATATATGCGACAATGGGACCGATGACTGCATTGGTATTTAAGGCGGTTCATCCCCATATTAGTTTGGGTCCAATTCCCATGGGCGAATCTAAGCGTCTGCGATATGCATACCTGCCAGAGAAAATCCATATAATGGATTCCGTACTCTACAATCAAAGTAGGTTAGTGGCCGTGTGCTACCCTAAGGGAACGGTCATGCGCGAAACTCCTGCCCTGCTCCGTCGCTCGACGCCAAAAATTCTTCAAACAATCAAAGGGGTTCGCAGCAGTCTCCCAGAAGCACATCCAATAGCAATTGCGGCTTTCGGAACCTTGAGGAATCAGATGGAGTTTCTGGCAAGATTAGAAGCTCATGATAAGGTTAAGATGAACCGCATTAATCCATGTTTGAAGATGCCCACGGCAGACTTATTTGTGCAGCTGTGGAGCTGGGAGGAGAATGGTGTTACTATGAAACCAAGGGTTTCTCGAATTCAGGCAGTTTTAGACGGTGACGGAGAAACGAAAGAGTGGTATGAGGATTACTCCAAGAAGTGCGATGCTATTCTGTCGATGAAGTGGTTTGATGGCAATAAAAAGACGGAAACTAATTGGGTGTCTACCGAAAATGTTGGGTCAACTTTTGCTCATTTGGATCCCCTCGCATCAACTGCTGCTAAGCCTCTTGAAGAATTCAACAAGTGGGCCAAGAAGACCAATAATCTTCCAACAATCAAGCAAAACTATGGCAAACTTCCCTACCAATGTCCCAACTGCGAATTGAGATTTTCTACCAAACAAAGGGTTAAACTTCATCACAACCTTGCACACATGTACACATATGAGTGGCAAATGCCCCAGCCATCAGTTGATCCAGCCCATCAAGAGAGGAACAGCGAGTTTGAAGAAGAAGGAGAAGAACAACTCGCGGAGGAGGCTGGTATAGAGGACGAGGAATATCCGAGAGAAGAGGGACCTATTCTGAAAAAGAGAAAGAGATGAGGCATCAGATGACGGCGGATTGACAGTATTAGCATGATAATTTTTGAATCAGACGAAAAAGAGAGATTATGTTTGATAAATTTTTATATGAGATTCCGAACATGCCAAAATGCACCCTGATACTACCCGACACGTGATACGGTGTTAGCAAGTTAATTTTTAACTTTGCGATGCCATCAAACACCCATGTATCATCGAACAGCTCGCTTTGTATCAATCTTATGAAACCTAGGTTTTGGTGTGCTATGCACCAGTCATCAGTGAGCCCGAAGCTCACCATGATCTTTTGAATGTTTGAACTTGTATTGTGTAGCCTACATAAACATCCTATCAATCTTCGACAAGACATACTATTTTCTGATTATAGCATTCATGATGAGATATCCAATTCCGCTACTATATAAGTCTTTACTTTGTGATCGTCGTAACACATCGAGAGCAGTACCGTGTGCATTTATCAACATATATAGTATCCGGAACTTGGATAGTATCCACGAATATCAAATGAAATCATTCTCGTAAACTAATGAAGTCTATCGCAAAAGCCTGCTCATAACTTACGTGAAAAATTGTACAGAGAGAAGGGGTAGGTATGGAATAAAGAATCGCATGCAATTTTAAACTTTAAGTATTATTCATAGTCACTTCACTGAAAGTGCACATTCACAACGATGTAATCCAGTGAAACATGGTAGACCTGTGTGTACGGCTTTTCAACTCAAGCCCTGTACGGTAAATTTTACCCACATACGCTCTTCAGCCAAGTTGGAAAACAGCATGTACATAGCATGAACTTGATCTGATTCACAGATACCCATATAAACCTTCACGACATTCTCAATCATAAAACAAACTATAAAGCCATCCACCAGAACAGATAACTTCACGAAAAAATAAACAGAGAAACAACAAACATAAAATTACAACATCCATTCAGTACCAGATCAAGTCACATCAAACGAGAAAGACCTCCGCAAACTGAAGTCAACGAATCACATTCAACCGAGTAAATCTAATCCAATTCCAACAGTTTCAGCCAGATAAACAGATCAGATATATCAAACAGCCCAAAATGCCTGCAGATTGGCGAACTGATAAATCTGGAAACGTGAAGGGGTTTATTAGGAGAAAAGGCGACCCCAACCCAATGAATTGGGGATATGAAGTTGATGATAAGGTTTTGAGTCATCCAAAGGCTGGTATGATCAAGACTGATGTGTCGAAACCCAAGAAAGATGATAAGTGCAAGAGCTGTGAGAAGAAAAAGGAGAAAGAAAAGAAGAAGAAAGAGAAGAAGGACAGTGCCGGCGGTTGTCTAGTATCGTAGGGGATCGTGCAGAGAGGGGGGAGGCTATAGATCATGATGATGTTGGTCGTTGGGGTTGGGATAAGAGACTTGAGTGAGAATGGTTCGAGGGAATGTAGAGGAATGAGAGAATGGGATAAGGTCACCTGTCTGTGCATGATCGCAAAGGGATAGGATTTTGGGACTAGATCGTTGGATTTCTGACTGGTGTGTCCGAATTATATACATGGGTAAGCTATTTGAGCCCCCTGTTTCGTGGGGAGATATATCCCAGCGTCAGTAAACACGTAGAATAACAGGAACATACTTTGTATTTACGCCAATCGCATATATCACGATTTTTCGTTTCATAATCCGCGAGGGTAGTTGGTCGCTGAAGGGTACGATGGGTTACATAGAGCATCGATAATCCAGTTAATCGTAAGGGCCCTACCGCCCATGTAGCTCGTAAGGACCCTGTCGTGTGTCAGAAATCATTGATTTGGTATGCAGTAACACAATAATCCCTAACCAAAAATGAGATCAGAGTCATTAACTCGTGGGAAGTCTCCAAACCATCCAAACAACCAATAATGTGGCGCATTGTCACATACCCTATCCCATTTATTCGCTGTGAACTCGGAAATAAAAGATTCACATCACAGCTTTACTAAATACCTTCGAATCGTGATGAATCATATATAAAGAACTTCTTACTTCAGGTGCTGCAATTAAGAAATTACACACACCATCTTTGCGTTTACATCTTCAACTTCTTTACCAAATTTTGAAACATACTTGCTAGTCAAAACGTTTTGCCCAAAGGCCCCAAATCGACTCAATATGCCTGTTGCAAATGTCTGTAAACTCAGGACTTGTCCGCTCGAATATGGAATGGTACATTACCAGCCTACTCTTTTTGGAAATGTGTTTTACCTCGGCATATTTGCTGCTCTTCTCATCATTCACATCATGCAGCTATGGCGTTGGAAAGCATGGAGTTTTTCGTGCTGTATGCTTACCGGTCTTGTCCTCGAAATAATTGGTTATCTTGGCAGAATTCAAATGCATTATGACCCGTTTGCTTCGAATCCATTTTTGATGCGCGTCTTCCAGTTACAACCACAGGTTGCATATTGCTGACTATCAAACAGCTACCTGATATGCGTAACAATCGCGCCCGTTTTCTTTACAGCATCAATATACATGACCTATTCTCGCATACTTCTCCACTATGGGCCACATTTGTCGAGCTTTAGCCCCAAGGCTATCTCTATCACTTTTATGGCTGCCGACTGGGTCGCACTTATCCTCCAAGCAGCTGGCGGAGCAATTGCAGATACCGCTGCGACAAAAGCCGGGATGAACAGTGGGACAAATATCTTGGTCGCAGGGCTGAGCTTTCAAGTATTTGGCTTGATCCTGTTCATAATGACAGTTGTAGAGTATGCCTTCAAAGTAAGCGGGGAGAGAAGTCGAAGGAAAGCAGCCAACTGGGCGGCAGGCGAAGGTGAAATAGGGGCAAGCGAAAGAAAAATGAGGTATCTCTGCTATGGTATGTTAAATTCCAATTTGTTCTTCTTAATCGTTTCCATACTTCATTATCTCCATCGTCCCGAACATCCGACTTACAATTCCCTCATAAATCCTTTTCCAATCTCTGCCTTAGATTGGAGACTAATCGCACGACCTGATGTGCTTGTAGGTCTTACTGTGGCAACTGTCCTCATCCTTATTCGTTCAATATTCCGTGTGGCCGAACTTGCTAAAGGATTTAAGTCGAAGCTTGCCAATGAAGAGGTTCCTTTCATGATACTCGAGGGAGGAGTTATGATATCGGCTACCACAATTATGACGATCTTTCACCCCGGATTAATTATCAAGGGGAAGTGGAAAGAATCCGGCTGGGAATTGAAGGGATGGAAGAACGAGCGGAATTGATCAGATACGGGGGCGAAGGGGAATATAGTGTGATGTGAGTTGGATGGAGTATCAAAAATTATGCCAGATACCTACATATGTAGAATGTTTCAACGGGTTTGCTATTGACTTTGCTGAGGAAAGTGACATATTCTGATAGAAGTAAAATGGTTGTTGTTTTCAAACTTAATACAACATAGTTATTCGCAGGACTTGAAGAGACACAATAATTGTAGGCAAGATACAGATTGAAACCGCAATCGCGGAATATTGACACTTGATGGAGACAACGAGGAGAGATAGTAGTGAAATATGTCAGGAAACGCTTACCTGAAATGGTCTAGCTTGAGGCTAGCGGCCGCACCGTTTGACACGGGAATATCGAAGATTTTTTCCCCCTATGATGTAGAAAGAAGCATCATATCAAAACAGCAGACGGCCCATGAATATTTGTCGAACAGTTGCTCCAGCAAGAAAGACCTTGAGAATAGGCAATTTTCAAAAGAGCAAAACTTGTAGTGGCCAGCTGTACCGATCGAGAGAAAGGACTACTCCACACGTGACTATGGATGGTCCAAGTCATGTACGTCTGGCCTGGAATTTGCTTGATGGCTCTAACACTCTAGTAGGGTCATCATGGTCATGATACACATGCCATGCCTCCACAGGCAATTTGTGATGCTTACAAAAAGTATCAGAGGATGAGTGATGCGGCAGTGAACGATGATCTCGAGATCGTGGATTTCACTCGTGGCTTGACTCCCGAGCAGCAGGAGAAGTTGAGTCCGGTGGGTGTAGTTCCCTCGGAATTAATTGCTAAAGCGCAGAAGGAATTCATGAATACTGGGGCCGAAAATGATTCTGGCTTTCCTGCGGCATGCACCATTTATGAACACAGCGGATTTCCGGGTAAGCTTGACTCAAATACTTGTAAAGCAAAAGAGTAGGTAGCTAACTTTCTATACAGGGTTGAGATTACTTCCTGCACTCCTTCCACCGGAGACTCAGTCTTTATTTGTGTCCCGACTCCTTCATCGTGAATTGTCGAATCCTCTGCACAAGACAAACTTTCACGATGATTATGATATACCCTACCCTCCACTTGACTCTTCTTTTTTTACTTATCCTCACCAAGCCAAGAACCAAGTCTTTGCTCCTAAAGATCCAAACTCAAGACATAAACCACTCAATGCTGCACAAGCTCTCCAAAAAAAATTCAGGTGGCTAACACTGGGCTCTCAATATGATTGGAACACCCGAGCTTACCCATCTTCTTCTCCAACTCCATTCCCAACTGATGTCTCTCGTCTTGTTACCACATTATTTCAAAATGCCTTTACTCCAGAATCAGGAGTCGTCCTAATGTACTCGACTAAAGATTTCATGCCGGTGCATAGAGATGTTTCCGAGGAATGTGAAAGAGGGCTAGCGAGCTTCACGCTCGGATGCGATGGGTTGTTTGTTATTAGTAGAGATGTTAGAAAAGGAGAAGAACACATCGATAACAGGGAACAGGATTTCGTTTGTATACGGGTCAGGAGTGGTGATGTGATACAAATGGGTGGAGAGACGAGATGGGCTTGGCATGCTATGCCCAAGATTATTGCAGGCACTTGTCCACCTTGTTTGGAAACATGGCCTGTGGGATCTACGGAAGAAGGGAGAGAACCAAAAGAGTACGAAAGATGGAGGGGTTACATGAAGGGTAAGAGGCTAAACATTAGCTGTAGGCAAGTGTGGAATTAATTTTGCATATATGCTTTGATCAAGATAAGTGTTGTATTACATGTATCATGACCAGGTTCTGTCTTGGTCTTGGTTGATTTTGGCTGCGCTGTGGGTGATACAGTACAGACCAATATCAATCTTCTGAAGCTGCTGGTTTACATCTTCATATCTGCTATTTTGATACTTCAGCCCTACGGTTAATCGATCTTCAGAAATTATACGGCATATAGTGATATGATTTGTCATTCTGCCGTACAATCCATTTCTCTTTTTACATATAAGGGTCTCTCCTTTCCGCCGATCCTTCATTTCTTCTACATCTGATCTTGATATCGCTCTGATCATAAATATCAACTTTATTGATAAATCAATCACTTTAACTTCCAGCAATTCTTACAATGTCTACCAAAATTGGCAAAACTTTCACACCCTTTCGAAAGCTCCCACTCGAGCTCCGCCTTATGATTTGGAAATTGGCAAAGCCAGCTGGTCGAATCATCGAACTTAATCTACTCGAAAGATCTGCCATTAGAGAAGAATGGAACTTAGATCAATCTCCGCAAGCTCCTGGTCAGTCTGATCAGGCAGAGAACGGCGACGAAAAGCCGGTCAGATACAACAAATTGTGGGGCTTTAGATCAAACGCTTCAATTCCAGCACTCCTGCTCGCGTGCCGTGAGTCGCATGAAGTCGCATCGATGTGGTATCCACGAGTATTTCAATGCTATGCTGACAACCCGGAAACATTGAAATTCCCTCCCGCTATTCAAGGACCAGGTTCAGTCTCACTCCCACAGACGTACTTCAATTTTGAGGAGGATACACTCTTCATCACGCCCGACACGTTTCGTCCCAGATATAATGCTGAAAATGCAGAAATAATAAGACGCCTCTATAGTCTCGCGCGAGTCCCAGGACATACTATACTCGGGGTCTCCCGGCTGGTATACGATCCAGATTTCTTAAGAGTTGAGAACCTTGCTATTCAATTGACTTCCGATCAATGGAATTTTAACTGGGACGCTCATGCTGATTGGCTGGCTAGATGCCTGGAGCGTGGATTTCGCGACCTCAAGACGCTTACCATTGTGGTTGACCATCATGTTCTATCCCCTCGCTGGAGAGCAACGCAGGGCGTGAAGATGTCGAAAGAAGATAGAGCAAATCTTGTATATATGGATGAATTAATCGATGTCCAGGATGCCTGCCGTTTCTACCACCCCAATCGCCCTATTCTTGAGCAAGAAAAAAGAAAGTGGACAGAACCAAAACCTAATGCCTCTCATTTCACACAGACCCATATCAGAAAATTGACTCAAAACATGATGGAAGTTCTCAGAGAAGAGCACATTAAAGCTGGTAAATTGATGTGGGATCTGCCAGAGATACAATTTAAGATTGTCCTTCCCGCGAAGATTAAAGCAAATTTAGGTCGGAACATGCGGCGATACAAAGAGAGATTTGCTGGTTGGCAAAGAGAAGCTGCTTCCAAGTCGAAAGAATAGGAAGATGCATCTTGAATTAACAATACTCGCCAATGATTACCGTAATTAAGGATGAGCTAGATAAGGGAGCTTTCTGGAAATTGATTGGGCTGTGAAGTGGGCAGATCATCGCATGATTTCATATGGTAGATGAGTGGGAAGCTATCAGGCCTTGCTATAGGGACCTCAACATTATTAGAATTTCAATAATGTGCATAATATTCTCAGAGTGTTGTATTTTTTGGACTTTAAATGGACCAAATGTGAAAATGACAGGGTAAAACAATGAGATACGTGTGAATCTTACTTTGAGGTCGAATATTAACGTTTTAGTTTTCAATTTCTTTTTTTTAGCCTGGCGACTTAAAGGTGCATCGATCCCGATCCTATCGACGGCCGCTCAGCTCGCCATCCAATTCGCCACCCCTTGACTAGAATCTTCTCATTTCACGTCTCACGATTGTCTCTCGGCAAATGTTTGCAGAACACTCACCTATTCGATTCGTTTGATTTTTTTAGAATCCCCGCCCCAGAATTTCTCCGTGGTAGAGCAAAGTCCACAGCGACGCCGCGTTGAGATAGAAAAATATTGATCCGGGCCACATGGTTGAAGTTAAGTTGGAAAGGGCCCAAAGACCACAGAAGCTTGAAATAAATTGGCTGACAACGATTATTCCAACCTGCGAGGTAAAGAATGATTTGGCTGCAAATATGGGGGTATATATTATTGTGAGTAAAATTTAGGTGGCTGTCGCTAGTGGTGACTGATTTTGACAGAAGTTTCCACGCAGTGAGACCTGTGGCAGATATTTACCCACTTGGTTGAAGATACTGTCAATAAGTTCACAAGTACTGAATTTTCCCAGAACTAAGGCTAGATTGGAGATATCTTACATCCTATTCCTGCTTGGTGGCCAACACACGGCTGGCAATCTTCAGTTTCACGTTCTTATTTCTTTCTGTATCAGATTATGAGTGCTGAAGTCAATAAAGGACATGAAGCTTGAAATAAGACATCTGTGTATTTAAGAATGTATACCGCAAATGCGTATTATAGAATAGAATGAAATAGCTCAAGAACCTGTGTCGACTGGGCTGTGTGACATGAGATAGACAGCCGGCTTCAAGTGTTGGCAAGGGGGTATGCTGAATAATCACGATGTAACCTCGTCAGACTTCTCCGCATTTTTGTGATAATCAAGCCAAAATTCCCAATTCCACTCATACACTCACTTATGGCGATACTAATCTGGTATCTACGAGCTAGCTTTTAGCTCGAGTTTCACTATATAAACTTACCAATTCCCCTGCATCTTCTAATTGATAAAAGATACTATTTCACATCCAAACATGAACAGCTACATGTTTCGGAAACATGTCAACCGTCACAACGTCATTCTCGAAGAAACTCAATATCTGGATATATCATGCTATTCGGTAAGGGTTGATGCCCACTCCATTTAGAGCAACAGCAGTGCTTGAATTAATCGTTGACGTGGTCAGGACCCCACTCTTGATAAAATCGAAGAGCGTCCATTGACAATGGATGAATTTGAGAACTTTATTCATCAACGGGTAGATAGTCCAACTTCTCCAGCCCGTCAAAGGTTCTTGGAAGGATTAACAGAATTCTGAATCCAGGGAACTTTCAAACCGCCTCCGCTACCAGAAGGTATCACTCGATTATCCGGCGTGCGATTAGTGTAAATTAGCATGTTTTCATGTGTGTGAAATATCTTGCACTAAAGCTGACCTATACTAGCCTTCAACAGAATACCAAACATCCGGATACATTTGGAGCGAATACTATGAGTCTCCAACATGATGATTATGTGACCATGGTCGAATCGTGGAAAATGCCACTTGGGGCTATTGAATGCTCCAATGCTCTCAGCGTGCTATTTTGGTCCTCTATAGAAGATACTGGAGGAAACCCACACTTGCGTGCGTGTTAGAAACACTTGAATATTTGAATTCAATGTTACGATTGTTAACCCGTGTGTGTAGAAATAATTTTTCGAAAGGCGAACGTGCGAAAAAAAGGGTACACTCGAGGCTGGGAACTAATTCTAAGCCATGAAATAAAAACAGGCACCACACGCGGATTCTGCAAAGGAACTGCATCGTCTAACATATTCGAGTGCGTTCAAACGTTGAAAGCATGTGTTTGGGAAACTTCTCATCCAATGCTTCTTCCGTTTTTGATTCTAAGTGAGGAAATATCCTACAAGGAAGATTTGAGGCAAAGGGAATGTAGAGACTGGCTACGCCGAATTGAACATGCAGTTTCGGCGCATGCAGGACCTAGAAAAGTTTCTGTAACAAATCAAACGAGGCCACTTGATCTTATCAGCCACGATATCAACGAATGCTACGCCCAATCACTATGGAGAGCACCTTTAGCATACATCCGTCTTATGGAATCCTTCCTGGAGACCATGGAGTTATTTAAGCAATATATCCCTGCCACAGGATCAAAAAATTTCAAAATTCAAAAAATACATGACAGATTTATCGCGGCGTTAAGGTGCTACAAAGCAAAACAACAGGGACTGGAAATTTACGCAAATACAACCCTCCAAAGGCTGGAGAATCAAAGAAGTCTTGCAAGTACCCCATACATATGGAAAATTCATTCCATTCGTCACTAATCTTAGTATCTAGTCCACAATTGTGCTCGCTCAACGCGATAGCAAGCTGCAGTATGATATGGGCAAGCTACAGTACGAAATGGCACTAGCGAGCAAACGGGATTCTTCTGCCATGAAGACTATTGCTATATTGGGTATTGTATTTCTCCCTGGGACATTTGTTGCTGTAAGATATTCTCCAAGTCCATGAAGATAAGGTTTTTTTGCTGAACAGTAACCTCAAGTCAATACTATCCACGACCTTTTTTGATTTCCAGAATGCATCTAATCTTAGTACAGCGGTTTCTCCAAGCTTTTGGATCTATTGGGTTATCACAGTTCCGGTTACGTTGATCATTCTGATATTGTGGTATTTGTGGGAAAAAAAGCGAGACGGAAGGTTTGTCAGGGAGAGGAATGAAAGAGAAGAAACCGAAGACCTTGCTTCGGAGATTGATTTAGGAGATTATAGCTTGCAGCCGCTGCAGAGAGCGAGGCCATTGGCAGACTATGAGTGAGAATGACATGACGTTATTTTTGATTGTTATTTTATCTCCGGATTTTCTCCATCGGAAATGATTCATAGTGCTGGCTCTGATGGATGATCAGTCCGACTGGAGGAACGGGCATTCTCAGAATCTATAGTAGAGGAATTGGACTCATGATCCACAAATAAATATCAAAATCCCCGCGGAAGTATCCAAAACCACGAGTCAGAGTCTCAAGACTACACGTATATCAAAGTCTAGCCTGTAAAGAAACAATGTAATGTCAGATTCCCAACACTGCAAATATCTGAATTCATACCCAACATTTCTCATCTGACACTATCGACTTGGAATCCAATACTGACACATTGGCCGACATTGATATACAAATTTTTGTGCGATTCTTTAAGTATATTGCCGAAGTAAGTCAAATTCTCCGTATGTTGTTGAGAATAAAGCAACAGCAGTAGATAATTAATCGTGCCGAGCCATTGGCTCTTACTTTCTTATTTTGCCTTCACCTCCGCACTTTCTATAATTTTCTCCCGGGAATCCAAGACCTCGACGCTAAGAAAAGCAAGCTTATGATCCTATTAGCATCTACTTTCGTATCGCGTAAGTGATTATATGCACGTATTGTAGAGCCAAGTGCTATATTGTTATTTCAACACTCTGATAGGGACTAAAAAAGCATCGTTCCCGAGTTTTCAAAAGTTGGATACTAGAATCAAATAGAGACGCCAGTGAAGAAATATGTGGGGATCAACATCGAACGAGTATGAAGTAGTAGACAGTATTCCTATGCTGTTTTGGACCAAGCTGCAGTCCTCAACTAGGCAGGAAACCAGGCTCATTTGTGGCAAGTTCTCACTTGGTTAGTCCGACAACTGAAAGGATTGATACTATTACTACTGATTTCCAAAATTTTGTATAACATCAGTCCTTGAATCGAGTATTCTGGGTGCTGACTGCTTATGGTTTTGATGAGAGTCACGATAGCGATCTGATTTCCTATTTTGGAAGATATCTCCGAGAAATTCTCTCCGCCCCCACTTCTGCTATGCGCACTTAGTCGAGTCGGTCTTGGTTGGGGATGATATTGAGTCGTGTAAAGGGTGCGGCTGTCTGATTATAGCCATGCCGGTTCTACTGAGTTGATGTCGGATCTATACAAGCATTGCTTTTCTTTTTACAAAGGCTACGGATATTGTACGTCATGTTATTACAGAGTACATATAAGTTTTTTAAATAATTTTTTTTAATAAGTTTTTCTAATAAGTTTTTCTAATAAGTTTTTCTAATAAGTTTTTCTAATAAATTTTTCCAATAAGTTTTTCCAATAAGTTTTTCTAATAAGTTTTTCCAATAAGTTTTTCCAATAAGTTTTTCTAATAAGTTTTTCTAATAAGTTTTTCTTATTATAATTATATACTAGAGCATATTGTAGAGGTTAAATAACTAGAATAAGAAAGCTAAAGAGAAAAGAGATCCTTAAGAGATCTCTTTATCTCTTATATACGTCTAGTTCAAGCTAGTCTTGAACTAGGCTGTAATGAGTCATAATGTGTATCACGTGATATTCGTTACACACTTATCCTAAAATCCAAAAGAGCCCTTTAGCTAAAGAGCTCTTATTTTCTTTTTTTCTATTAAAATATCAATAATAAACAGATTTCAATTTGAAATAATTATATTTATCAATAACTAAATATATAATTCATTAAGAATGAAAGAAATTTTCAATTTAATAATATATATATTAAATATTTATATAGAAATTTATACTAACATTTTATTCATATATAGGTACTCATGCTGCCAGAAAGTATACAACTCCTGCCTCAATAGGATTAAGTTACTGTGGGGAAGCTTTCTAGTGCTTAAAGGGGGAATAAGTTATTGAAATTTGTACTAAAAGCAGTACTGTAGGGCTTTAATATAAGCGAGCTATTCAATTGATTCTTTTTTCCAAAATCTCCATTTAATATAGTGGGATCGAAGAAAGCAGTGGATTCTATTGGCCCATTAAAGCCGATATAGCGTATTTAGCGCCGGAGTTGCATAATTTCTGACAGCACGAGTATTAACTTTGCCACCACAGGGCGATAAGGCTTAGCGAGATCCCCCCCTGTTGAAGCTTTTCGGGACCGAGCAGAGCTTCAGAATCAGATAACAATTCGAGGGGGTGGAGAATCAGGCCATCTATTAAAATGGACCACTACAAGTGCTTTCGTAAAAATACCAATGGGAATCAATTGATCGAACGTCAAGCTTTGAAGCAAAGTTTTGGTTCCTGAACATGAGTGATCATGAGCGTGAATTTGAAGGAAAGGCTTGGAGCTAATGACGACTTTAAAAACTTTTCCACTTTTGTTGCTATTATGTCCAGAGAGATCAATGTCAAACTGTTTAAAGACAGTAAAGTCCTGCTGTATACTATCTTCATTATGCCGTGCAGTGGACCCCTAGCCGTGGCTTAGATATTTCTCTACGGGTCATAGTTATAAACAATCTAAAGATTGTCTTGTGGCTACCTAATTGTGTGGTATCCAATTGCAGGCCAAAATGTGCTTGGTGCCTAAAGTTTGGAATGGTAATCTAAGAGATGTGACCTGATATATATGACGTGAAAACAACGTTATGTGTAGTTCTGGCCCTTGCCAACAACACGTTTCGGATTGTAACCATTTTCTCACGCAATAGGATAGGGTGCCAGGATAAACCCCTTGGTGGCTTCTGTACGAAATATCGCCGCATCTATGTTGTTGCTTTCGCTTGGCTTCACCTCGACTACACGAAACTGTATTGAAAGAGTAACTCTAGACGAAATCCAAAAGGTGGCTTATATTATTTTAAAGATACTTGGATATAACATTTACGACCAGAACTCGTCGGCATCTGGCAGATAAGTGGATTTGTGGATTACACCGACTGTTTTAAGCCCCGATTTTCCACTTGAGATGAAAGCACCTTTATGATTTTTTGATGTCCACGACATTTCTTCATATGTAAAGTTCATGATGACGTGAGCCAACCTTGCTTATTCCAAGGCAACTCTTACCAGACTGTCAATAATGATCCAAAGTCTCCAATATTTCTAAAAGTTCAATCATCAGAGGAATAACAGCGCGATTCTTTCTGAAAATAAACTTCGGCTTAGTTAATACCCGAAAAGTCCGTACTGAAATTAGCGGAGCCTCTGCCAGATTTCGAGCTAATTTTGGCATGTAGAAACTTGACATGGGGAGTTTTTAATCTCAATCCTTGATATCCACGTGAAACTTCAGTGTAGAGCTCTCAATCTAAGATTCTTGATTAACGCGGGTGATCAACTCCAAATGGTAAAGTAACATCCCATCTTTCTTAGCGCGGGCCAATTTGTTCGATGCAAAGACTACCGGTCTCGGGATGGGACCTTCAACTTCTCGAATCAGTGATTCGAGACGTACATGGCCCTTCAAGGAGAACGTTCTACTTTCTGAGAACCGCAGATGTGTCAAGCAAAAGATTGTTCTTTGTCAGATTCACATTACGGTAAGGTTCTTCTATCGTGTCCCAGTAAAGAGAGTAATTTTCTCTTATATCACCGACAATATACATATAACAAGGTGTACTGTGCTCTACAGCCATTATTGCGGGTCAATACAGCAAAACGAGGTAAATATTACTCGGGCTCGATCATTCCAACGATTCCCACGTTTGCGGAGCAGACCTCGAAAGCTTATGTCAATCAACCTGGTTTGCTCTCCGCTCCCCTTTGCAGTTAGTGTTATACGGGATACCCTTTATGAGCATTTGGTGGCTCGAGCGAAGGAGTAGATACCCACACGATATCTCCGCAATCTTGAGTTCTATTTCGATGGAGCCAAATGTAAGATCTCGAAAAGTTCTCTATGGACTGTCCAAGCGAGATAATGGCTCTAGCTCAGATGGTGAATAGTGAGCACCAGTTGCTATTAATTCGTCATGTCAGCATGGTTGAGATATGTATGTAGCAAGTGTGCTCGTATCGAGCTGGAGTTTCAACATCCAGTGTTTTGAAAAGCTTCTTTCTTAGATCGGCTTTGCTTGTATTTGCTCGTTTGTTTGTTTCCACAAATCTCTTTTTTTGATGCTTTAATCAGCAAATATTAAACTCAGAGCGCCCTTACCCACGATGAAACAAAGAACTCCCGAAAGGAAAAATGTCAGAAGTACTGGATCTCGTTCACGTACCGGCTGCATAACCTGCAAGTAAGTGAATGATCGGTGAGCATCTATTTCACTAGTTCGTCTTAACTCTACCTTGATATAATTCTGATCTCATAATTGGATCAGGTCCGAGGGTTGAATGCAACGTCAAGTGAGAAGTTACACTCCCGTTTCATCACTAAAAACAAGCTTTGAAAACTGACAGATACTTCAAACGTAGAATTCGACGCGTAAAATGCGATGAAACAAAGCCGGGCTGTCAAATATGCCAGAAATTTGGCCGTATGTGTGATGGATATGATGAACGCAAGAGCGTTAGTTTTCAGCCACAAACTAATCCAAGGAGAATTTTTCCTAAATAGAGACTAAGCAATCATCACAAACAATGTTGGCACCCAAACCTTTACCACTTTCATTTCGAATCACACTCCTTGGAGAACAAGAAGCAATATACTTCCAAATATTTCAACGCGAAACTATAAATAACCTTACCGATGGCCGGAAATCACCACTTTGGCATGGAATAGTAAGACATGCGTGTCTGGAAGAACCATCCATCTTTCATTGCGCCATAGCCATCGCTGCTCTGGATCAAGCATGTAAATCTAGGTCATTGAATACCTCCTCGGGCTTTGACTTTCATCATCGTCATGCACTTCAGCAATACGGAAAGGCGCTGAAAGAATTACAGAAAGTAGTCGCTCGAGGCGACTCTTGTATTCGCACTACCCTCATTTCCTCTTTACTCATCTTTTGTTTTCAAAATTTTCATGGGGATGTTCGACTTGCCATAAACAATGTCAGGACGACGATAGATCTCATGTACGATTGGATCTCTAGCCATACGAATACTACTGCCCATATTGGTTTTAGTCCCGCACCGCATATCCTCGAACATGAAGTGGTTGAAGCATTTGCTCGTCTTGATGCACATCTCTTAAATGTATGTATAACTTAGGTCATTCTACCACGACCTTTATCCTCTATATCACTCAAAGGAAGGTACAGTTCGACTAACATGCTTGTTTTCTAGTGGATTTGTGTTTCCCGATCTTCATGCGATATCATTCCTCTTGTTTCCCCAAATTCTTTCAACGCTTTACCAATCCCAACCATTTTTACGTCCCTCAAGGAAGCGAAACTTTCTTTGGACAACATCATATCCCGACTCTTCCTGGACAAAGTTTCCGGCCCAACTGCGCCCTCACTGACAAGCATTTCCCAATACACCATTTCAGAAGCCTCCGAGCCTCCTTTTGCAAAAGAACTGAGATCCTGGACATCCGCATTTCAACTAATTTTTGACATCTGTCAATCTCTAATTAACAGAGACCCAAAGGATCATAGCGAATTTATCCCTGCCGGAATCTTGCGCTGTCAATGTTTAGCACTAAAGATTGTCTTCTGGTCATCATATTATTCTCGTCTGAACATCGATTCATGCAGTTCATCTTTTAACTCCCCATTTCCAAAAGCTATACAATCATCTTCTCAATTTGCAAATAAAGATGATGATAAAGAAGTGCACAAACTTTTAATTCCAGTGTATTCCGAGATCATAACCACTTTCAGAGCCATAGTCAATCATCCAGCATTTGTCAAATCGTTTATTTTCGGATGTGGCATTCTACCTCAACTTTTCGTCGTGATATGTAAATGTCCAGATGAAATGATAAGACGAAAAGCAATACAGATATTGAAGGATGCTGAAGGAAGAAGAGAAGGGATTTGGGATGCGAAGACTGTGGGACTTGTTGGCACAGATATATTGAGATGTGAAGATTTTGATGAGCATGTGAGGAGCCTTCAGAATCAGGATTATGTTTCTTCTACTGGAAACCATTTAAGCAAGGAGAATTTTATCGGGAACAATGCATCAGCTTGGGATGATTGTAAATATCCACGTCAAGAAATTCGATTGCAGAAACCCACAAAGTGGGTTGAAGTCCACTTTGCATATCTGGGGATGAAGATGAAGTTACCGGTCCTGAGGCGGGAAGAAGAGACGAATAATAAGCAAGGAGTGGAGTATTCTTGGGAGAGATATAACGATGAGGTCGAGGGAATGCATCTGCTAGATTGGGTGGAACAATATCTTGGTCCGCGTGGTGATGGTTTGATTTCGGGATTTGTTGGTCTATGATGTCTTGGAGTAGGATTAGTATTTGATTTTTGGAGTTATGGAATTACCAGTTGATAAATGGCTAATGAGACGCGGTTTGGGTGTTGGCGTTTTGGAAGTTCAGAGATTTTATCTATTGCTCGGAGCATCTAACAATAGACAAATATTAGAGGAGGTATAGAGTCTCTGAGAATATTTGAATGATAAATACGTATCTTGCCCCGTGACTAACGAAATATAACTGAATAAGTCATCTGATGCTAGGCGAGGGGTTGTCACTTGCATCATGATGACCCGCACTAGCATCTGATATTTCATCCCAATATTTGAGACTATAATACCAGCTGTATTTACGTCATAGTTCAGACGACATACATACGAGATCCGTTTCAGGTATATGTTATATGAGTTCTATCAAGCCATACCTATGCTCGCTGGTGATCTTACTCTTGTTTTGGCGTATGAACACAGGACAGTGCTAATGTGATAAGAATGCAAGGAGATGGAAGACTACAACTTGATGATATGTATATAATTCCCAAACATATAAAGGGTTTGTTCCTAGGTAAATGGTCAATGATCAAAGATACAATCACAGGTAGTACTTCATACGATATTCAATGTAACCGACGATGTTGATGTTGATAAAGAATGCCAAGTCTTTTCTCCAAGGTAATGTGCCGCTAATTTTTAGGCTTCACGCTAAGAAGCACCTGCCACTACCATGACCATGACCACCTACTTACGACATCATCCCGAATGACAACAAGACTGAATATCTGAACCTATACAAATACAATCACAACATATATACTTACAATACCAACCTACGATCACCACAAGGAATCGCTCGTATTCGACAGACTGTGATAACCATCAACATCAAAACATTTCTGAACTGTGGAATCATAACTTGTCTGTCCCACATTTCCCAGCTCCGCAATTCCTACATACATCAAGAATCATGATGTCCACCGCACTTACAACCACAACTCCCATCTCCTCGTTTCTTACTCTTCCTTCCGAACTACGTCTGAAAATCTGGTCCAACCTCCTTCCCGGTCCTCGTACACTTCCAATCCGCTGCTCTCGAATCCACAAATCTTATTACACTCCTGTCCCCACTTCCGTCCTGCTATCAATCTCTTCCGAAACGCGAACTCTATTTCTCGAACACTATTCTCTCCTCCACCTAAACCCCTCTTACAACTCCACTATATACATAAATTTCGCACTGGATACACTTTTTTTTGACCACGAAGAATGTTCACCTATCGGAGATTTGGCTATGGATTTCAACACTTGTGCGCAGAAGGATTTGATTGAGAGAGTGGACATCGATGTACATTTATGGGAAATTATGCGATTGTTTCGATTTGATGCTTTGGCGGAGATCAAATACTTGTATGGACTTAAGAATTTGAGATTTGTTTTGAGGAGATCAAACATCGAATCGAATAATGGAGAAGAGGATGAGGCTAATAATATGAGGGCGAGAACTAGGGATGTATGGGGAGGAAGGATGTTGATCGAGGGGCAGACAATGGAAAGAGAGATTGCGCAATGTCAGTGGTATGTTTCGATGGTGAAGTGGGAGGTGGAACATGGGACTCATCAATGGACGGACTGTAAACCGAATGTGCAGATGTGCATTATATGAGGAGAATAAGAAGGTTGATGAGACGAGCGCGAATGAATAAGGAGAACAGGGATTGCATTTTATGGAGGTTCTGTCTGCAGTATCAAGACTAATCTCCGAAATTCACGAGGCGTGAAAATCGTTGCACAAATCTTTACGAATATACGAATATACGAAGATACACGAACTAGGGGTTACATTGGGAGAATAAGGTCACACCGCCCATGAAATCTGTATAAGAATTCCAGTGTTGCCATCTCGCAGAAACAATGGAGCCTGCGCTCTCAGACCTACGAACACATCTATAGATGTGATATATCAAGATGCGAAATGAACCTTCAGGCTGGCTTTTTGTCCAGTCTCTCGAATGTTCAGCTCTCATAACAATACCTTCTATTGTTTGTACAGACTCCCGGCATTCTGTCAAGGAAGGTTTCTCCTTTGATGAATCTCTATATCACCGTCAACCCACATCATTTCACACCAAAGACCATCTTGGATATACATCACGCCTGTCAAGCGACACAGGGGAATATCAGTCACCTAGCAAGGGATCTCTTGATAAAAGGACAAGAAATATCCGCAGGACTGGATAGAACTGGCTCGGTTACCTAGGTAGTAAATAGCTTTCTCAAATATACACACCTATCAACCCCCCAAACTTCATTGGTACAATAGCATGATTGTATATAAAAGAATACAGCTTCGATTAAATATGTATATAAAATAACATTTACATCCATGAACTAAATGTTTCAATTTAAGTACCCAGGTATCTTAACATAATAACAATACGTAATCTCAAAGTACCTAGGTATTCAATAATTAGTCCGGACTACAATCCATCAATAAAAATTGTTAAATCTCTAAATCAATTAGAATCTTCAAAATTTTACATTATAAGTTATTGGACCATTATCCGAACGATCGAATACCCTGCCTGTTGTTAATAATAATGATAATAATATATATATATATTCATATATGTACCTGGAAATCTGAAATAAAAGAATATTCGTCTTGGAGATGGGAGATGGATACTTGATAGCTAGGTTGGTATTTAGATTTATGAATATATGGATATATGAATAAATAAATGAATGAATAATAGTTGATATTTTATATGATAATTATGTAATTTTTGATGGATGGGTGGATGGATGGGGTGGATGGATGGGTTGTATGAATGGATGGGGTGTATGGATGGGGTGTATGGATGGGGTGTATAGATGGGGTGAGTTTGAATTGTGTGTATATATGTGTGTGTGTATGTGTTTGTGTAGTATATAGTGTGTAGTATATAGATGTCTAGGGAGATGGGAGATGGGAGATGGGAGATGGGAGATGGGAGATGGGAGATCAGATCAAAGGGATACTTTTTGTGACTTGTGGGCTTTGGATGTATGTATGTATGTGTGTATGTATGAGTGAGATTTATGTGATGGATGTAGGATATGATATAATATGATATAATATGATATACAGTACATATATATATATGTATATATTTAAGAAGCCATGCAAACCAACCACCCCTCCCACCAACCTCAATAACTCATTCCCTCTCTCTTCACCTCCCCCAAAAACCTCTCCACAATCTCCGACACCTCCTTCGGATTCTCCTGCATGACCCAATGGCCCGCCCCCCGCACCACTCTCGTCCCCTTAAACCTCGTACATCTTTCGCCCATCTGTTCTAAGACCCCCGGTTCCTGATACATGCCCCAGTCTTTTTCTCCGCTGACAAACAACATGGGGATATCCAAAGTTTTTCCTGCGAAGAGCGCAAGCTCTTGGGTGTAGTAGGGAGATGTGAGGATGCGGTACCAGTTTAACATTCCTTGGAAGCCCGTGCGTGTGTATTCGGATGTGTAGACGGAGAGGTCGGAGGGGGAGAGCCAGGTTTCCATTTGGGAGAGTGAGGAGGCGGGGATGGACTGCATGGTTGTTTGGATGATGTCGCGCATGGTGGAGTGCAGCGGCATGCTGTAGTAGGGTGGCAGGTGTTGGAGTTCTTCTGCGGTAAAGGATTTGAGGGGGTGGGGGGTGTTGCCGGTCCAGTGTCCGGATTTGAGGTAGAAGTAGCCGTGGAGGAAGGAGGGGAGGGTGGAAAGGGGGGTGGAGAGATCGCTGGCGGCTTGTGCGGTGGAGTAGTAGGTTTTGTAGTGTTTGAGGGGGGTGGGGAGTTGGGAGAGGGAGGTGTGGATGTCCGGGGTGGGGGTGGGGGTGGAAGTGGAAGTGGAATTGGAGGTGGGGAGGAGGGGGGGACCTTTGAAGGGGTGGGAGAGGAGGATGACGCTGGGTGGGTGTTAATATATATTTGTGGGGGAGAAACATATGATATGATAGGGGAGAAAAAAATACGTAAAGATGATCTATCGAAGTGACGCTCCGCTGGCCCTCCGGGGGCCACTGCCGTGGAGGCAGAACATTACCCTTCTATCGAGCGTAGCGAGCTAAGGGGGTTTGGGGGCTTGCCCCCATAAACAAAGCAAGCAAATAAGCAAGTACTTACTCACTTACAAACCAGCTCTCACAAGCAACTCAAATCAAATCCAAAAACCTCACACACCGAGAAAGAAAACAGGGAGTCCTACGATTTAAACAAATCCGGTCTCATGACTCCACACCAAGCTGCCACCACCGCCCCCAAATCATGACCTAGCACACATGCTACATTTTGATGGCCGAGGGCGTGGACTAAAAATACCATGTCGGTGACGAGACGCGAGATGGTGGTGGTGTGCAGGTCGACGGTGGAGAAGGAACGGGAGTCGTGGCCGGTGGTGCGGCCTGCGCCGCGTTGATCGGGGGCCACGACGTGGTAGCCGAGGGAGGAGAGGGTGGGGAGGAGATAGCGGTAGGAGAAGGAGAGTTCGGGGAAGCCGTGGAGGAGGAGGAGGAGGGGGTGGGATGGCGAGCCTGAGGTGAGGAGGTGCTGGGTTAGGGTGGGGGTGGAGAGGTAGAGGGAGGTTATTCCTGGGGGGAGGGGGAGCGGTGGGAGAGGGGTGGAGGGGGTGGTGGAGGTGGTGGTGGACATTTTTGGATGGTGGGATCGAGTTGGAGATGGAGATGGAGATGGTTGTGATGGATGTAATGGATGTGATGGTTGTGATAGGTGTGGAAATCAGTGGTTAATTGAGATGTCAAATAACTATTAATATAGACATCTTTGTAGGTAGGTAGGTAAGGTTACACTCTTCCCAATTCTTTCCCCTCGCTTCATACCTCCATACTCCATATCTCCATGTCTCCATAAGTCAGATTCTCAATCACGTTATCATGATACAGTATAATAATTAATTGCGGAGAAAGGATCTACAGAGAGATGCATACTGGTAGGTATCTATAAATCTACCTATGTAAGATCACCTAGGTATCCTCGGTATATCGTGGGGATGAATGTTTTTGGTTGCATTTGGTCTGAGCTTAGGAGAATGATGGGGATTTTGTTACTTTTGTATTATATTATACAATTTTATGAGAATTTGAGTGAGTTGGTTGATTTATTATTACCTAGGTAGGTAGGTAGATAGGTACTAGTACTTGATTTATTATTTAGGAGATAAGTTAGAAGAAAAGATAGAATTAATTGAGTACCTAGTAATTACTAAGTAATTTTATATATCGTATATAAGTAGAAAGAAGGAAATCACTAGAAATCAATTTGTTACTCCAAAACACAATATAATAAAATAACTTGACTGTCTCTACGATAATTATACTGAAAGCTACTCACGCCTCCGTACTTCTCAGTATCCCTCTACGTCATCATACATTACGTAGGTACGTACCTGGGTATTTGATATGCCGGAGCGGGCCCATCCCATGGATACTGGGTAGCAGTAGCAGTAGCTCAAGTCTAGTCCTTTCGAAGTGTGGCTTAGCTGGAGGTTTGGGATTGATCTACGATACACACGGAAGGGATGCATACTGTAGGGAGGTGTTTTGTTATATTCTGTAGCCTGTAGCTGATGGATTGTTTCATGGAAAGATGGGTTTGGCAATGGGAACTTTATTTGGAACTTTTGTTGGAACTGGGAGTTACAGTTGGGATTGTGTGGGAGAGTGTGCTTTGGTAGGGTGGGTGGGTTTTGAGGGGGTCGATTTATTGCAGTGGTTCCAGGTTGTTTCTGATGGGGGATTGAAAACGTAGGGAGGTGCTGGTGGTGGTTGGTGTGGAAAGGAGGGTATCGTGGGGTTTGAACGTTTGTGTGTATGCTTGCTGACTGGATGGTCGTTGGTGTCACATTCTCCCAAAGCTTTGGGATACATTACTACCTAGGTAGGTACCAGTAGATCCTCTATTACTAGATACTAGGTAGGTACCCAGAATACCAGATCAGACCCTTGGCCTTCCAAGTTCCAACCGTTCCAACCGTTCCAACTCTTTCCTGAGGCTGTTCTTGTATATGTGTGTGTGTGTGTGTGTGTGTGTGTGTGGTGTGTGTGGTGTGTGTGCTTTGTTAGCCCAACTCAATACTCAGGTACCTACCTGGTCATCATTCGCATTCCGGGCAAAGAACAAGGAACCAAGGTGTATATAAACTTTGGAACTTTGAACCTTTGAATCATGTAAAATATCTACAACCGACCTATCACGTGCCTATCTGATGTAAGTGCGCACTCAGGTACCTACTAGGTAATTAGTATTCGCGATGAAAACTCATTTGATAAGATCAATGAGGACCTCCATATTTAACTGATATCGTTGAATTCCAAGCAAAGGGTTACTAGGTCCTAGGTAGGTAGTAAGGAAAGGAAGTGGAGTATTTGTTTAGTACTTATTATTATTACGAGTACTACCTACCAAGTAAATATTGGATTGTGATTGCATGCGGTGCCGTCCAAACTCATAATTCAAAGGAGGTCGAGGGAAGCTTTTATTATCTACCTAGGTACCTAGGTAGGTATGATCTATTCGTCCTCTTCCATTATTCGGCTTGTCGCTCTCGAGCTGCCACGATCAAGAAGTTAAATGATTTGATATGATTTGATTTGATTTGATTAGTTGGAATGGATGATGAAGAGATACTCATACTACCCACACCGAGGTACTATTATGTGTTGGTGTTTGGATTGTATTAAACTTGGAATTGGTAGAGAAATCTTCAAAACCTCTCTTGTCTCTCCATCTCCATCTTCATTCCCCTCTCTGCATTCTGCATTCATGGATTGCCTTTTGTGAATTTAATGAACATGAACAAAAACCTCACTTGATTCATTTGATTAAAATAGCTACATTTGATTGGAACCATTCTCATTTCGCCTCTCCAAAATATACCGACTGAGAACTGACTGAGTACTGACTGACTACTTCATACCCAACTTTATCTAGACCTCACTTGTCTTTCTCCAAAGTTTCACACTTCACTTCATCTCACACAAAATCCCATCAAACGTCCTACCGCTATCTACTATCTAGTAGATAGGATCCTTCCCACCTTTCAATGATCGGATCCTCACTCACTTGCCTTGCATTGTCGATGCATCCATCGTCTTAATTGTATCCACCTACTTTAAATCTTGACTCCATTTTCGAGCATCAAAGTTACTCCATTCGAAAGCTCTTGGATCCTGATCTACCATCAGCAACCAAAAAGAGAAACTCCATAACCCACTATTTCTTCTGCACACAAGCATCATCAGCCACAACTTCAATTCAACCAAACACGGTTCAAGGGATTCCCAAACATCCCAGTTGTCATTCCAAATTTCATTCGCCTACATCGCCAGTCATCATCGAATCAGTGAATTGGCGTGACGGGATCGTCATATTCTTGTATTGTTATCTTACGGAAAGGGAAAATAGTCATCGGAATCTCATCATTTTCCATTTCCTACATTATTTTTTTCAATGCGATAATATCCTCATTAGCCCATAGTTGGCAGAGGGTAAAGAGGCGATTCAGCCTACGACAATCAAGATGTTTGGAAATAGACGGAGAAGAGCCGTTTCGAATCCGGTATGTTAGATTTCATTGTACTGCATTGCATTCCAACATTTCATCGATTTTTTTTCAGGTTGCGCGACAGCTCAATCGCAATTGGCTTCCGGGGAGATCTTTGCATGAGAATAGAGTACATGCAGCCACATTCGTAATAGATGCTAACAGGTTTAATGTTACAGCCAGTAAATTCAAATGTCAACGCATCTGCCGCGACCGCCGCGGCACAGGCATTTCTATCTTCTCAAGCATCAAATACTTCCTTGTCTTCCGCTGCAGCAGCTGCCGCGTTACGATCCAGACCAACAACGCCTACTTCGGTCGCAGATATTCAAACCAAAAGGACAATTCGGAGAAACGGTTCAACCTCTTCTGCTGGAAGTTCTGTAGGTGGTTCCGTACGTGGTCCACCAGGTTCGACCCTTGTGAGAAGAGGAAGTTCCGGTTCGATGACTGAACGAACTTTTCGGGAATCTTCGCCAGTTCCAAGTGCATATGATGCGCCGCCTGTGCCGGCCATTCCGCAAAATATCACAAAGGCTGGTGGGAAGACGTCACGAAGATCTGCAAGTATGGATGCACCTGGATTGAGAATCGCATCACCACCTCCAAACAAAACTGGTGGGAGAGGTTCGAGTCTTGGACCATCAGCGACAGCATCGCGTGGGTCGGGTCCAAGAAACCCAAGTTTATCCAGTGTATCTGAGATGAATGGGGAGAGTAGAGGGTCCGTCAATTTTTCCTACCCTACGAGTACAAGGCCAATGTCTCCTGAACAAAGACGGCTAACATGTTCTGCAAGCTTAAGTACAAGCCCAAGGATTGTTTCGCCACATAATCAAAATCTAGTATACGATCCAAATACCAGACGCTTCTTACCGCTAGCGGATATTCTAGCTATCGAGCAAAGATTGAATGGAATTGCTAATGCTCCAGTTAAAAAGAAGAAACGAAATCCGCCTGCACAAGGTACTCATCTCGCAGCTGCTTCGGTGGGTGGAAGGATAAAGGGCACCGCGGTGGATGCAATGGAAAGGGCATCAAACACATCAACCACACAACAATCGATATCACAACCTTCCCAGCAGCCCATGCCACAATCTACCCAGCAACCCGTATCACAGCCCACTCAGCAATCCATATTACAGCCTATACCAAAACCTAATAATCAACCGAAATTACCCCCCGCGCAAGTCGAAACTTCTTGGGAAAATCCCCTATCTATACCTGTCTCGGAATCAAATACTCAGCAAAAATCTCTTACAGTGACAGCTCCACCAAGGAAGAAAAAAAAGCGCGTTATCATTACCGATTCTGATAGTGACCAGGCATCAATCCTACCAAACTCGTCTGCTGATGAAAGTGACGTACCATCACATGGTTATAAAACTCGAGCAGGCGCCATCTTGGCGAAAAAGCCATCAGTTGTACGTGAGGATAGAGAAAGAGAGGAGAAAGAAGATGATTCACCGTTGCGCTCTGGAAATGTAGGGCTTTTGGAGGATCGCATTGAACCTACCAGAACTATATCACCATCTCCTTTGCCTCGGTCATCTGCCGGTAGGGGACATGGTCGAGCGCAATCGTCAGCAAATTATGCGCAAGAACGCCAGCATACCAGATCTGCAAGTCAACCTCCAATGACATCTGTTGCCGCCCCTTCGTTAAATGAAGAATCTCCTCGTGGTGGTCGTGTCCAATCCGTGAGTCCTGCGAGAACTCCACATTTTATGGCGACCCCCGAAACCTTGACGGTTAGGCACCAGCCACCTCCCAGATCTGTATCTCCACGAAAATCAGCCTTGAAACATTCTTCTATGTCTTCCATTGAAGCTCGAGGACCATCACCATCTGACGGAGGTTCTTTCCGGCTTAGTGAGGTTTCTAATGATGAGGAACAGCCAAGAAAGAAAGGAAACAGAGTTAGCTTTGATGAGGGAAACAATGTTGTATTGGGTCAATCGACAACCTTACCTTCTGGTTCACCAATGGTTCCGAGTCCGCAGGTAAAGCGTAGCTGGTTTAATATTGGTCGTGGGAAGAAGAAGGACATACATGCTACAGATGAAGATGACGACGAAGTAATGAAACCAAGGCCAGCTCTTCCATCCTTTGGGAGTGTGAGGGAAAGAAAGACTCATCGAGAGACAGAAGAACGAGTTCTAGTCAGACCACCAGAGCAAGTAACTACTATTGCTCCTGTCACTTCTCCTACTTCACCGTTGTTCACTTCTCATATGGGAGATGTATTGGAATTCCCCATGGGACAATCAAATGATCATGTCGCAGGTTCACTACTCGCTCATGATGCCACTTCGAAAAATGCAGCAAACATTTCGAAATCTCGCGAGCCTCTACCTCCTGATGTCACATCTTTGGAAGGGACCGGGGAAATTTCAGATGCTAGCAGTACGTATAGCTTAGATAATAATGCTATCGGTATTGCTAGAAGTAATAGTGTGAGAGTTGGGCCAGAAGATGGACATGCTGATACATATCGAGAATTGGCAAGCCCAACGAAAGATCAATTTGAGGATCACGAATTGAATGAAGATATTCCCGAAATTGCTGTTCAAATGCCTACTCCAACTCCAGAAGGCACACAATCAAGAGAATGGCTGGACATGCCTGGTGGGTATAGGGGTTCAGGAAGCTCTACTTCGAGTTATGTGGATCAACCCAAGGATGAGGTTCACACTGCTACTGAGAATGGTATTATTGGCACAGCTCTTTCGCCTACTTCCGAAACAGCAAATTCAACAAATGGTACCTCGAACTTATCGGAGTTTGACGATAGTACCAGAACAAGTTCGGAAGCTCATCCTGCACCAATTTTTGAAGAGTCGGATGAGTCTGAAAACGACAGTATATATAGTGATGCTGCTGAAGAGTTTGAGACGCCAGATGATGGTGGTTTTATGTCTTTGGATGCTGTGGTAGAAAGTCCTGTATCGGCAACTGCTATACTAGCATCTGAGCCAGACAGCCCAAGAACTAAATTGGCGAAAGAAAGAGCATATATGTCAAGTCAATTGCAAAGAAAGTCAAGTGAACCAGATCCAGAAGAAGGATGGGAGAAAGCTCAGCAATACTGGAAAAATTTGTCAGTGGACAGGAAGAAGCAATTGGAGCTAGATGCATTTAAGGTGACAGATGAAGAAGAGGGAGAAGAAGTGACGCCAGCCCCAAAGCCAAAGAAAATGAAAAAGAAATCGGTAACAATACAATCGCCTACCTCTCCTATCATGCAAACAATGCAACAATCGCCATTTCCACAAGTTCAAAAGCAGTCAAATAAGGAGAGAAGTTACATGATTCAACCAGGATCAAAAGCAGGCCCCAATGCTCACGGTCAGACAACTATGCGATCATCTATGAGAGCGGAACCTCCTCATGCGGAATCAGATGTTCACATCAGACAATCTATGAGAGGACCTGGTTCAACGAAGGGAGCAACTCAAAATGGAACAGCTCAGCATAATGGAATACTTCAGAAGAAACAAAGACCTGTTTCTCTTCCTCCTGCTAAGACTCAAGCAAGTACTCAAGCTGTAAATCAGCAACTTCGACTTATTCAGGGTGCTGCTGCCACTGCTACTTCGCCCAATTTTCAAAGAAACAGTGCAACAGTAGCACCAGCTCTCCTACGACGTAAATCATCTGGAGATAGTGATACTAGTTTCAAACGTGCTAGACCTGCAACAGATGGAATAAGTATGAGACGTTCTATGCGTCGTGAAAGTGATGTATCATCAAATGGTCGTCAACAATCTCCTCTAAACTCAAGTCGATTTAGTCTTCGATCATCATCACCTGGTGGACCTCCTGCTGTGACTATGCGAGGAACAATGCGAAGTTCTTTAAGAGGATCTAATGATTCTACTGCTCGAGCAAAATCTCCAATCAGAATACCTGGATTCGGTAGAAGTTCATCAGCTAGACCAGCTCCAAAACAAAAGTCAACTCAACGATCAAGTCGATTTGCTGATTCGAGTGATGAAGATGAACCTCGTGCTGGATTCAGAAGTCGCTTTGTGGATTCAAGCGATGAAGATGAACCTACACCTATAGCTCCTATAGTCGCACGACCAATATCATCACGTGGTACACCAGTTCGAAGTATACCAAAACCTATAGGGTATCAAGATGGAGATTCTTCTGATCTTCCAGATAGTGATGATGAGAGTCGACCTGCCACAGCTAAGAGTTTAAATAAATCCAAACCAAATGGCAATAGACCACCATCTCGAAATACGACAGCAGCATCTGGAGATTTACAGAGATCAGGTTCAGGTCGTGGACTAATCAAGGTCGGCAATGGACAAATCACACCGATTACTCCTCCTAGACCACAGGATGCTCGACGTGGAAGTATTTTATCTATTTTTAGGAAAAAACAAGATCCGAATAGTAAAGTCAGGAAGTACAATGGAGAAAGTCCGGCTAGGAGAGATACACATTTGGAGAGAAGTAAGGAGGATCTTGAAGCTATTAAGAGACCGGAAACTCTTGGTAAATCTGATTCTCCGAGAGTTTTGAAAAAGAATCCCAGACAAAATAGTGGATCTTGGCCTTTGGCTGATGATACGGGAATCAAAGTACCTTTTGAAGAGGGTAGACCGTTTTCTGCGGATACAGGAGCAGGAATTGTAGGAGGTGAAAATAAAGAAGTTGTTGCGGAATTGAATGGAAGACCAGAGGTTGGGAATCGAAGATTTACGGCTACGGGGTTGAGTGATGTGGATGTTATGGGGCAAGGAGGAAGTCCGAGAAGAAAGAAGAAGTTTCAGGTTTTGAGAAAGATGTTTAGGTTGGAAGATTAGGAGGAGGTGGTGAATTAATGGAAATGAGAGAGTTGTATATGTATTACTTTTTTTTTTTGCCCTTTGTTACTTCACTTCATTAGTGGATTGACGGGTTGGGGATTGATGGATTGGAGGGGAAATAGATACCAATGGAATTGAATGGGGTGGATGGATGGATGGGAAGGATATGGATTGGGAAACATGTAAATACAAAAGCATGTTTGTTTGGTTTCTGGGGAGGGAAAGGGTTGTAGAATATATGTAAAATTTTAATCATCAATGTTTTTTTTTTCAATTCGTTGTCTGACGATTTGGGTTTTGGTGTGGTTTGTTGATTTGTTAGTTTGCTGAGATTTCTTGGTAGGGAGAGGGAGGGGGAGGGAAGGGAGTGTAATGGAAAAAAAGGGAGGTGATTTGAAGCAAGTGGAAAGTGGAAAGTGGTTTAAGTGTAATGTAGTGAGAAGGAAGTCGAACGAGGAAGGTAATTTAAAGGAATGCCGTGTCTTCAGCAGGCGGGGAAGACTGAGCGTGCTTTCTCGCAATGATTCTGGATTTCTTCGAAGCGTTGGGGAAAAGGTTGGGAGGGAGGAATTTGTTCATTGGCCATGGATCGATTCTTTAGAGGTGTACAGTGGAGTGGAGTGGAGTGGAGTGGAGTGGAGTGGAGTGGTTCTTTTGGTATGGATAGGTATGGATAGGTATGGATAGGTATGGATAGGTTCTTCTTGATAGTGCAATGGGTGGATGAGGTTGCTGGGGCTGTAATGTAATCTAGAGGGGAATGGGGGGAATGAGGGAAATGAGGGAAATGAGGGAAATGAGGGAAATGAGGGAAATGAGGGAGATGAGATGGTGGTTATGATACCCGTGGACTGTTGTTGGTGGGGGTTGGTGAGGGCTGGTGGGGGTTGGTGGTGGTGGTGGTAATGAGCTTTAGGTTAGATGATTTGGAGGATGAGTTGGAGGATACCTAGTTTGGAGGATAATTTGAAGGACTGTCATGTTATGGAAGGATTCAATTCTTGCTTGGAATCTAAATCTAAAGCTAAGGGGGGAAGAAGAGGAGGAGAAGGGGAGAAGGGGAGAAGGGGAGAAGGGGAGAAAGAGACCTCTAGATTACTAGGTATATACATCAAGAGGATCATGTGCTAGGACTAGTGCCTAGAGCAGGTGACGAGAAAGGAAACCCGAAAGAGAACCGAATCGTTACAGTGTAACACCACGAAACCTATCTTTGATCGATCATAACTCCCGCTACAAGAGCTTGATGAGTATATAATGACCTAAAATGTACTCTTCGAATTAGGGCGAATCGAATGATATCCGAAACTCTCGAAACCATTTTCTGACCTTAACCCCATATTCACTCTTCATATAACCTAAGTTTCGACCCTCTCGTCGATACCCGCAAAGCCGAATTCTCCTCACTATCATAGAAATCCGAGATCCCTCTCTGAACCGCCGGTCTATCAGCAATACGAGCAATCCACTGTAGCAAATGTGGGAGCCCCGCCATCTCCTCATCGGTGAATCCTGCATGCTTCCATGATCGGACCCACCGCCACGTTCCAATATCAGCAATGCTGTATTGGCCTTTTCCTGCTCCTGCGAGTTATTGACGTGGAATGACTGTGTAATGTCCTGAGAGACGAAGCTCGAGTATGTTGTAGATGCGGAGTGTCTCCGTTTTGAAACGTGAAATGGCGTCTTTTTGTGGTGTTAGTTCCGGGGAGTATGTGTGAGTGAGGGAGTGTATGTCTGGGGAAAATACGCACAGGGAATCTTTCCAGGTGCGGATTTACGGAAATGATTGTTCTGTCCTTGATTTGGTTGGCCTGATGCTTGCCAGAAAAAGAGCCATTGCACCGCTTCGCTATGCTGTATTCGGGTCAGAAGATCGATGAAGATTCACCAGGAATAGGGTTTACGAAGATTATCCAGTCAGATTTGATTAACCGGGTCAAAAACACATGCTTGAGGAACAGCCAAAGCCGAAAGGGTGTGAATATGAAATCCATTACGAACTTCACGCTTATTGTCAAATCCAAAAACATTATCCTGATCGAAATTATCGGAGAGATATAAAAGTTCTGCAGATGATTCCATGACCGGAAAGGGTCGCGTCAGCGTATTATCTAACAGCAGTGGAATCTGTCCTTCAAGCGATTGGTCAAATTCAACGGTCGTGAGTTTCAAAGCTGGAGTTAGTCATACCATTAGGATTCAAACGCAGAAACCAATCTTCCTTTTGTTCATCTGTTTCGAGATCAATTAAGCTAGTCGTCCATTCAAGGCCATAAACATCTTTCAGTTCTTCAAGCATTATTTGCACCTTTTTGCCGTTTGGTGTAGCTTCGGTGATTAGATGAAGGCCCTGTTATGGTGTCAGATATGTATGAGTGTATTCTTGAATATTGACTTACTGTTGCATTTTTTACTGCTTCTGGAGTATTATCAGTATAGAACTCCATCTTGATTGTCGATTTTTCGATCCCCAAGTTGAAATGGAAATCGATTGGGGAACCCAGGCTTTAAGTAGTATACCTCTACATATACTGCTGATTCAAATGAGGGGCTATACACTGATTATGCACATCGTTATGGTAGGTTAGTCATGTAAGCTGCATGTGGCAATATTGCTGACAAATTTGTGATTGAAGCAATCTTGCGGTCATTTGGAATTGTATCAGTTCTGGGAAATGTGGCCGATTCAACTCTACTCTAAAGGCTATTCTAGAATGGAAAGTGGGCTGGCTTATACAGGCCAGTCACCACAAACAAACGGGGTCTGTATAAAGAACGCTAAGCTACATTGAGCTAATGCAGCTCTCCACCCAACCGACAAATTGTCTAACCATATACATTTTGTGATAAACGCGTTCGAGATCATCATGAAACACTTCCTCCCGAATTCGAGATCCGAGGGGTAGACAATTCCAATAGCTTTCCGAAACCCGGAGTACCTAAACCTGTTACTGAATCCCAACCGGGTGTAGCATTCCAAGAGGCATATGGTACGATTGGACTACCATTTAAACCCTCCTCGAAGCAAAAATGACCATTGCATCTTGTATTTCCTCCATGTACAATTTCTTTCAGACCCTTCTTTCCAACACTATGAAGCCAAGGGTTCAAAAATCCAAAAGGTGGAAGATGTGAGGAAATGCGAGCGGCATTCAAAAGACCGATGATTCCAGCAAAGGCTGGGGCCGCACAGCTGGTGCCATCTTTATAAATCATGTGGCCGGCATCAGCGATGATATATCTGACTGATTGGGCGGAAAAATCTGGAAATGCACGCCCATGAGGGTCAAAAAGTCCCTTTTGTCGGTCGCCGAGTTGCGTCTGGAGAAAATCTTCTACTACCTCCTGTTGATACGATGGCCTAGGCCAAAGATCGGAAAAGTCGCCAGAGGAAAAACATACTGCTTGCTCAGGGTCGATGTAACGCACTCCACCGACTGACGTAACCCATGGACAAGCAGCTGGGAATTGCGGTGGAAAATGCGTCATGTTAGAACCGTCGTTTTTCATACACGCTGCTCCTACGCCTTTGTCCCCCTGATGTGGCGATGACTGAGGTACCACGAGCACCAAGCTGGGCTATCATGAAGCATGTCTGTCGGGCGTACGATCTCGGCACCATCTGTTCGTCTTCTCCATGTGATACTGAGATCGTCGAAGGGAGCTCTTCCTTTGGCAATCTTAGTAGGTATCTCAAGAGATCTAGATATGGCTCGTTACTTCCGTGTAGACCTGGGTGGTCGTACTCTGGAACGAGGATTCTATGACTTGCTAAGCACGTCTCCAATATTAAGAGGGAAGCGTTTGCGATAATCACCTAGGCAAGTCCGGTGATGAACTCGGTGACATGAACACCATTCGCCATATCTATGACGTGCTGAATATCCAGATTTGCCTCGGTGCTGCTCCCAGGACTTTGATCATTCGGAGCCCCGTTGATGGAAAATACCGTCATGTTTTGACCAAGAGCACCCGGTGCCAACTTTTCTTCGAAGAGAGCTAGATCTGAGTAGCGGGCAGACTCATTTAGAAAGCTCGCAACTCCAATCACATTTCGGTCATTTATCTCGGCTTGATAATGCACATTCTATGGAATTCGAGAAAGTTGCATATTGCTTTCAGACATTTTGGTGTTATTGTGTTATTGCAAAATGTCCTATTGAAATCAGGCGTCTGAATATGCTAATAGGTGTCCTGGAGTGCACTCTTGGGAATACAAAATGACATATCGATACTCTGTGGACTTATGTGACCAAAACGAGTGGTCGGCTGGATGACGATGATGTGTGCAGCAACGTTCTTAGGGACTGAATGCTGTAAAGTCCGTATCCTTTGTTGCCCACTTGACACTTCTCGGCACCGGAAGAATGTATTATTGAGCATAGCCTGCACGACTTGGACGCGGTTGTGACCTGCAGCCAGTCACCCTTACTATTATCCGTGATGTTACCGCCAGGAATCCCTGCGTCGAGGAGCCAACTCCAAACTGTCGTCCTACTCTCCTCGTCGGCCTTAGCATAGTCTCCACTTCATTGCGGCTCATATGTTGTCCATAGAGTACATGATCGGGACTGGAGATCTTCAGTAGCGTTTGTTCAAAGATAGATGTCCGTATTCTGCGAACGAAGAGCAACATGAAGGCGCAGAAGTTGCTGTGTATCAGCTGTGCTGAGTTGTTCCCATCCTTTCGAGATGTGTCTGAGTTTTTCGACTATGTGGAATAGTCACATAAAATAGCAAAATGGAATTACTAAAAAAAAATGTAAATCATCAATCAATGTCTAATAATATTAATAATAATATTCTTCCTTTTTCTATCTCTCTAGGTATCATTAAATATATAGAATGCCCTTTCTTCTCTTCTTCGAAAATATTATTCAACTTACTTAATACCCCTCTCAAAAATCCTTTCTTAAATTCTTTTTTCTTAGAAATGATTCAAATGTTTATATAGGTATATAAATAGATAAATATAAAAAAACCCCCTTACGAAAAATGAAAAACACCTAAAAACAAAAACAAAAAATCATTACAACAAAATCTTCCCAAAAATTAAACCCCTCAGAATTTCCCCCCAAAAAACACACAAAAAATAAATTCCGGTACGGGGAATTGAACCCCGGTCTCCCGCGACCTTTCGAAGTAATCAGATACTGATACTTAATGAGAGGCGGAAATGCTAGCCACTACACCATGCCGGATGTTAATTACTGTTTTTTTATATGTGAGAGGGTCGTTGTTTGGAAATATATTTGAGCGGGGAAATGTGGAAAAAAATTCTTGGCATGCATGTGGATAGGTATGCAGAGATTTCCAGGTTTCTTGGGAGGGGTGGGTTAGCGAGGATGCGAGTCAGGGTGACTCGATGGGAGGCGAGATGTGGGTGTGGGTGTTTGGAGTGGGGTACCGGTGCTGTAGTATTATATAGGTAGAGTAGCTCGCGACCTCGAGAAAAAGCCGAACACCAATCCCGCAAAAATAAAAGAGAATCTAGAAATTTTTTTTTTCAAATTTAATATAAATTTCTCTATATTTTATAATATTTTGAAAACTAAAGCTTCAAAATCTTTTTTTGATAAATTATTAATATATATAATTTCAATCAAAAAGTTGAATCTATCATTTTGATATTGAATTTTGATTAAAGTGTAGAATTTTAATAAACGGCTTTTTCTCGAGGTCGCGAGAGTAGGTAGGGAAAGATAAGTGGGTGGGTATAGGTACTTATATCTATTATATTATATTATATCATTTTGAGCTTGAAATATAAAATCTTATACGTCGTATACATATATAAGATAGAAGATTATCTAGGTATAGAAGATAAATAAATAAAGGATATAAGGTTATTCGAAAGATTTATATTATATTGTATTTCCTAATAACATCTCGATCTCTTTTATAAGAAAGATATAGGAAGTCTGGATATTTACCTAGTATCTATATTTATATCTATCTATCTATATAAAATATTCATCTAAAGTAAGTATAATTCTAATTGATTGATTAATCAAATCTAGGTATCTATTAGAATTTCGAGTATAATAGGATATTTAAACTAACATCTCTAAAGTTTTTATTCTGATCTAATAATATAATAGCTCGTTTTAACAAGTATACTTATGAGAAGTACGAATATCTATCGAATCTCTATTATGAGTATATTATAGATTGATAATATAACACCTACTATACGTTCTTAATTATTATATTCTAGAACCCTCTACTCTTCTCCCTCTCGAATATCTATATACTCGAAATCTTACATCTACTAGCTAGCGGACACTCCATACATAAACCAACAGAATAATTCTCAACTTTCAATATTATTAATAACTTATAAAATCATCCCTTATTATTTAATATCAAAATCTATCATTTCATTATCTAATATATAATAAACCATCACGACAATTCTCAAGATACTCAACTCAATAGTCCAAAAGGTATTACTGAATCGATCTTTCCAGTACCCTTCAGCCCATAAACTTACTAGTAAACATTCGACTAATAAAGTATAATCAAATCATGCCCTATTGAGGATCAAAAATTGTTTAATTCATCTAAAGACTACCTACCTATATTGCCCACCACCCCCGCCCGCAAAAGTTCAAATAAATTACAAGCATGAAAACCCAATTGAAGAAGAAGAGAAAAAACTACAAACGCCTACAGTAGCCACCATTCCAATAATTCCATTCGCTCATTGTTAACCCTAACCACCATAAACAAAACACTCGCTCGCTCCTGACTCGCCTCAAAAATGCATATCATTTGGATTTCTTCTGAATATTCTCATCTAGTCATCGATCAGAAACACACTCTCCATGGCACAGGTAGCATGTAACCTCCACCTATCTTTCAAACTCCACCACTTTCTGTGTTGCCGAACTAGAACTTCTTTCTCTCTGTGAATCTCCAGAAATACCTGGCATCAAGCTTCCAATCTTACCCGATATCCCTACTCCCTCAACCTTCTCAATACCACTTCTAATACTACCTGCTTCAGCATCTGCTCCCTCTAATAAATCTCTATCTTCACTCCTTACACTCCTCCTTTCAGCATCACCACCATAACCCCCTGAAGCTCTTAATCCATCATCTTCTTCTTCCTCATCTTCATCTTGTACACCCGGTCTATGCACAGCATTTCTCTCCATTTCCTTCTGAGCCTCATCCATTCTTCTTCTAACTTCCGCAGCAACTCTCATTCCATCAGTAACAATATTATCCAAGACACCTCTAAGTCCCTTTCCAGGTGGTACTACACCAGCAGAACTAGGACCACTAACAACATTTGCTGCTGCACTTGCTGCCGATTTGCCGATATTTGTGAATGTAGTGAGGGAAGAATTTGTTGTATTTGAGGTAGAGGCCATTTTATCTGAAATGCGAAAGGAAGCTGGAAATGAAGATTCAAAGAATTGTTCAAGAAGTTCATCAGCTAGAACGACCATGCGGAAAGTAGGTAAAGTTATGTGAAGGGGTTTAGAAGGGTCAAGAGCTGCGTTAGCACTTTCTGACTGTGCTTTTGAGACACTTCGAGAAGGTGTAGAGAGATTTTTGGGTTTGTTGGATGGTGGTGGAATAATTGGAAGATTGATTTCTTTTTTGTTTTTCTTTAAGTCGGTACCAAGATCTAAGAGATCTTCTTCTTCATCTGAGTCATCCGAATCGCCAATAGCAAATGAGTCGGGATCGACAAGGCCATTTGTATCATTTGAGGCATCTTCAACTTTCTCTTCACTTTCTCCTTCACTCTGATTATCTTCCTCTTCATCCTCGATATTTTGTGGATGATCTGGATCAGCATACTCAAAACAACGTCTGATGAATGCACTAACGCTACTCAAAAACCGTTCTTGTGTCGTTGTATGTGGACTATTGAATTGTGCTGGATTACCAGCTTCATATTCGCTTAGTCCAACCATGGAAGGTGAAGGCGTCAGAGATCCTTCTAGACCTCTTCGAGAAAGGAACAGTAGAGCTTCAGATATCCTTAGAATCCCTTCTCTGTCCACTTTTCCATCTCCGTCATCATCATAAAGTTCAAAGAAGTATGTAATGCTTCCCATAATATCACCTTTGCCCTTGATATGAGCCAATCCTGTGACGACATTTTGTAAAGTCAGTGCGGAATTCATATCCACATCCCATCTTCGGAAAAGTCGTTGCATGAATTCGTGATCGGCTGGCTCAGGGTTACCAAAACCCCAAGGAGAGAGGGAAATATCTCGACGTCGCAAAGAATTGCCAAAATAAGAATGTTTCTCCTTCTCGAGTTCCTTTTCTTGTGTTGATGGTGAGTCTGTTACAGCCCATTTGGTCATTCCAGCAAGGAATTCTCGGAAGCAATCGTAATCCATCAGAGTAGGACTTGGGCCAAGACCCACTCTACCTTTCTCGATATTTTGGTTCTCTCCTAATCCAGCAATGACACTGGCTCTATTGGCTTTTGCTCTTCTTTCTTTTTCTTCTTGTATCATCTGACTTCTTTGTTGTCTTTCGTATAAGACGCCATAAAACCTATCATACAAAGCACCCAATTCGTCAACACTCAATTTCTTGCTTTCCGGACCTAAGTTTCGTATTGAGGTTCGTTTTGCAAAACTTTCAATACTGTTTAAAACAGCATCTTTATGATTCATACGTTGCTCTGCAATGGTATTTTGTGTGATCCCTGAGAACTCCTTGAAAGCAACAACCATCAACTCCTGAAATCGTGTGACTGCTCGTAATTTCGCATTCTCGGATTTTGGATGAGCAGATTCATCCAATTTCGAGAAATAGCCTTTCAGAACAGAAATAAAAGCTCCATCATCAGTGGCATCTAAAAGTTCTTCTCCATTTATGCGTAAAATAGCGAGACCAACTTGAAAGAGTACCTTTGGACCTTCTAAAAAGAAAACATCTAAAACACGGAATGCAAATACGAGAGGCATAGAGTTAATATACAGTGACAAAAACCAAGGCAGAGAAACGACTGAAAGTTGAACGTCCGATTTGACAAGATGATCCCATAATATTGGCATAGTCTTCTCTACTAAAGACTCAAACACGCGTTGGTCCAACAGAGTGCCGTACATGGTTTGTGAATAGTATCCGGGAAGTAATCTGTCGCATAACGCGGATAATAAGAAGTAAGCTTGAGCTTCAGACATATAAATTAATAGTGCTGCCACAACGATATTCATAGCCTGGCAATATCCGACTTCTTCGTTGGTCCAACTATATGCTGTAAGAACTCGTCTCAATCGATCGATACCTTCCGCATTTTGAAATCCAGGGTATTCCGGTAAACTTCGATTAAGATCCTTCTCAATTTCATCAATCGCAAGAGAATCTCTCCCTTCAAACTTCGCTAGAGTGTCTGTATATAACGTGGGGTTTTCCAAGCGTAAAAACAATGACCCTGATGTTTGCTCCCATATTTCTCCTCGCAGTCGATTCGGTAATCCAACTCGAATCAGCTTATGGAATGTAGGTTGGCGAATTAATGTAACATTCCGTCCATTTTCTCGAAGATACTCTCCCCATAGTCGCATCTTACTTTTGTCTCGTAACTTCCGAAGGTCGCCCGGATATCTGAATAACATTCCGAGTCCTGCATCTGGAGCTTCTCCTGTTTTGCTGTCGCCTTGTAGCAAATATTCCGAATAACACTCTGCCACAACACGTTTCATCTTTGCGACCTCACCTACTCCCGATTTTAGTCCTTTCTTTAAGCCATCGCAAAACCGTTCGCATGCTTGGCGCGTTCCAGCAAGATTTATTGTAATTTTTTGTTGATATGTAGGTTGTTTTGGGCCATCTTTCGCTGATGTATTTGTGATTCCATTCCAGGTAGTAATAGCCAAAGCAAACTTCACTCCATGTCAGCAATAAATAATGCGGTAAAGAAGGGATGCATACTTGATAGGTTTGACTATGAAGACGCTCTACTCGTCTTATAGCACACAAGGGCAATGTGAATCCATTCCCTCCAGGTCCGGCACCATGTGTTTGCCCATTGAATCCAGAAGATGTACCCGTACTCGCCGTTTGAAGGAAACTTGTAGGTTGTGTCGAGAAGCACAGATATGCTTCACTCAAGTGCAACTTTCCAGCATAATGAAACCCTCTCTCTCGACTACTATCCTTCTCTCCTTGTGTAGCATTCGGTGAGTATTGGTTTGGTGGGGCTATAGTAAGTTCTGCAGTGATTTCTTGTAGAGGGGTTTGGGAATCTGGTAATCGGAATTGATTGCGGAAGAGCGTAGATTTAGCAGGATTGCGATCAGAAGCAGAAATATTGAGAGCTTGAGTTGGGTCAATGAATGATTGAGCCTTTTGCACAAAGCTTGAGAAATTGAACATGGTTCATGGTATCTGCTGGTAATACAGCTTAAATCATTGAAGTTTTGTTCTTTGGAATTCATTCGAGTTGAGGGACATCAAGTCTCAAGTTCCGATGTCATCAGCCTCGGCTTATGTAACACGGTTAAACCAATAACAATACACCAACTGGACCCCTTAAATAATAAATACGATGCATGTTTTAGATTTGATCCTGATCACATTACATATAATTCACAAAAGTTTTGATACTTTACGGATATATTGATTGATAATTTGTTTTCATGTTACGAGATTCGCAGGTAGTAAATCTTCAGTTTCCTGCTGCGTGCAGGATTCTTTCTCAAGTCCCAGATTAGTACTCCTCACCATGAAGTAGCCTCTCGGGTTCAGATATAATTTAAAAATATTCGAGCATTCAATTGAATGTCAGATGATGGTGAGTTATTCAAAGATATGAATGAATATTCTAGAAACTTTAGTATGCCTTGGAGCAATGGTGATTTAGTACTAGGTATTCACATGTGCAAGAAAATGGTTTCGTGATTTTTACAGAGTATTATTTTTGCATTCAACCAATGTCAAATTCCGAACAACCTGTTTCCATCTCAAACTTCATTCAAAGTTATCGGTTGTCCCAAATTCCAACTCAATCTAATCAGTTCTCCCTAGCCACTAACCTCCACATTCCTACACAATGCCATTGTCAAATATATGAACCTCCTTAAAACGCAGCCTGGGCAGTGGTAAAGTCGTTATCAATCGTATTCAAAGCCGCAGACAACTGTGGCTCTACATCAGATGAGGAAATGGCAAGAAGATTCTTTCCAAAATCATCAGTTTCCTTTTTCAAACTCGCCAAGTCACCCTTGACGGTTGAAGCAACCCCTGCGTTAGCGAATGTAGACTTCTTTGCTACAAGCGCATTGAGTGCCTCTTGAATATCGGGAATCAGGTTGTTGATTTCATTGAGAATACTGTTGGAGTCGGCTGAGGATAATTGAGATGTGTTGGCAGCATCATTGGCAGCGTTCTTGATGGCTAAAGTGAATAATTAGTATGGGTTGTATGACAACTTCAAATTAGAACTTACAAGTTTCCAAAGTTGATTCAGTGCTGCTCACTGTAAGCAGGTTAAAGAATCCACCGTTGTAGTTGTCGACTGCAGTCGTAAGTGCTTTGACATTTGTATCGATGGTGGTTATATCTGTGAGAAGAGTCGCCGGAGTACGCTGGTAAATAGTGGCAGCAGTGACTGCTGTGATGAAGCAGAAAATGTTTTTGATGGCAACCATTTTGTCGGTTTGAATTAGACAAGAAAGCAAGGAAGTTTGAAGAACAAGTTTATTAGATGTTGAGATGAAGAAGTGTGTAGATAATGATTGAATCTATCTTCCTGAGTGATATACTGGGGTATTTATACATAGATGCGGTGCTACAGGGGAGATATCGCTGACTGAAGAGTGATACAATTCTTCTTAGCTATTGAATCTTTCAAGTAGTTTCGATGACTCGAAGAGATCATTTCACACATACTCTTCCCGCAAGCGCGCCTTTAGAAAGCCTAAACAAATGCTGTAGAGGCAACTACACCCTTGGTCGTACTACTCCAGCTTGTTGTCCCACACAAAACCCCACTTCCGAGAGTAACTATATGAACCTTATACCGCTCAATGCCATGTAACTTTTTAGCATCAGAAGACGATCAAATCGGTCCTTCGTAACGATTGTAGGTCGAGCCGTCACTAGATCGAGCTGAAATCGGGAGGCTAGTGCCATGTCCCTGAAAATTCCCGGGCAACCCGTTGGCAAAAAGTCCCTAGTGTTCGCATATCCTTCAACTATTCGCGAGATTGCAAGTGCAGATATCTTCATCATCCCTCTAGTGCTTTGAGGGAATAAGGCTAAAATGAAAACTCTGTTTATCACGATCCATATAGCAGTTGGAACTTTCCAATAGCCTCGATTCAACCATCAGTTGTGCTTTACAAGTCCTGACGCAGTTTATATCCATTATCAAACCGTTGTGATAATGCGTTGTACACAGTAGATCGAGGAAGTTGGTCAAGGAAAGAAGAGGGTCATTGCCAAGTACAATGAGTGCAGATCTCAAACTAGCAGCTGCTCGTGCATCGGTTCTTGTAGCTTCTTTTATAAAAAGTAAACTAGATTGCCGTGGAAGCATCAGCAATAGATCAGATCATCCAACGGTTCCTCGATTAGAAAAAACTGGCCGAACAGGTGCACGAGAACGATTGAGAGATGTGAATGATGCCATACTCACAATGTACAAAATTGATTTCAAGATCCGAGAATCTGTGCACTCGGACGACTATCCCGTACACGTGAAGAAGTCTTTATGTACAAAAGAATGTCGAGCCATATCAATTTTTAACGCCGTATGCAGTGTTTCTTTGGCATCGTTGTTTCTTTTGCCATGATGAGCAATATCACATCCTCTCATGAAGTCAAGATGAGACAATACATTGTAAGGTCACGTGATATGACGCGGACACGGAAGCCGTTCCCGCTCATCTTATGTTTGAGGAGAGAGCTCAACGACTTGCCGTCTGAAGAATAGCAACCTTCAAAGTTTTAGGTCTCGTAGATTTTCTTATTCACTTCTTGAGAGTGCCGCTTTCACTGTTCAAGCCTAGCTATTTCAAAAGTATCCTTCCCAGACTTAGAGGCGCGGGAGAACTGGCACGTGATAATCACCTTCATTACCTCTCGGAATAGAAGCTCCAGTTGTTGAACACCCAAAAAGGGCCTATGGACTACAAAATAATGCATGTGGAACATGTGCTAAAGCAAAGGTAAAATGTATGCCGTCTGATCCCGTTGGCAACAAATGCTATCGGTAGGTTTTCTCAATCCTCAATATCTACTTTCGCTAAATTATTGATATCCAGCTGTCAACGACTTCGAAAGGAATGCGAACCCCCAAATAAACCGAAAAAACGACTTAAAACTACGTGAGTATTATTGGAAGCTTATTTTAACGCTCTATACTGATTTCATCTAGCTCCGTGGCTGGACTCGAGAAGAAATTAGATGATATCGTTACTATTCTGAGTACTTCGAATCATATACCGAAAGCATCGATTGTACAACGTCAGGATGACATTCCGACGAACACTAAGTCCATTGATCCACCACACTTACAATCTCAGAATGACATTCCAATGGATATCAAATCTATGGATCCGCCACACTTGCTAGACCATGTTACTGAACAGATCCCAAACGACGAGACATCAATGTGTTTCGGTGATAATCTCAAGACCCCATCCACTAGCAACCGCGCGGATACAGCTTTCCATCCATCATCGACAACTATACCCCCCGTAATCGATCTTGATGATGATTACGCACATGCACTATTGGCCATTTTCAAAAGCGACATGGCTCCATACTGTCCATTCGTCCTCATACCTCCGAACGTCTCACCTCGCCAATTTCAAGCAGAGAGACCGTTTTTATGGAAAGCGATTATCACAGCTGCATCTCACCGAAATCCAACTTTTCAGGATGCTTTTGGAATTCGCTCTTTCGAGAATTTTATAACTGAATTGTTGTTAAGAGGTCAGACTGCTAGTCTAGACAAATTGCAAGCTTTGCTTGTTCATCTTGGATGGTATTTACAATGTTCCCTTTACCGTAGTATCAAATAGAATTTCACTAATGCTAATAGGTTTCATTACCAATCTATCATAAACAATCAAACATTCAATTTGATTTACCTTGTGAAGTCAATGGTGACAACACTTGGTCTTCAGCGATCATTAAAGCAAGGTGCGGCTATGGAGAAGGTATCGGTTGATGGTAAGTGTGTCTTTGACTTCACAAACTGATATTACAAGACTACAGCCTTTTTATTTTCGATTCTGATATTCCGTCAGGTACTCGGCAAGCCAATAAAGATAGATTGAGTAGTCGAAGACTTGAGGAGCTCCGGGCTTACGCAGGATGTTTCTATGCCACCTCAATGTAAATTTACCACCGTGACTTCGAAATCGACATGCTTTGACTAATGATTCTCACCAGGATGCCCCCAGGTAGTAGCGTTGAAAGTATGAGATACACTGTCCAGCTCGAAGAAGCATGCAAAACGGTAGCCGAAGCAGGCGAGTTTCAGAGCGACATACTTCTTTTCCATCTAGTAAAGCTGCAACAACTCGCGAGGAAAATCAAACACACATTCTTCAATCTCGAAGCGGGCTTCGGTCCTCGTATCGTTCCGCAAAAGATGTGTATGGATTTATTACAGAGGGAATTAGAAACTTTCAAACACGAGCTACCAGAAAATCTAAAATCCCATTGTTAGTTCCCTCGCCTCCTGTACCCCCTAATTTCTTATTAACAACCCCTGAAAAAGTCCTCATATCAATCAACTACAGCATTGCCGAAATCAATCTCTACGAAGCGGGCTTAAACGATGCCGACTTCACAACTTCAGATAGTCTCGAACGACTCAGTATCCTCAACTCCTGCCTACTATCCGTCAAATCCTTCCTCGACGACAAAGTCACTCGATGGATTGACTTCTCCATCGCAGCAGCCTATACCACCTGGGTCCAAGTCGGCTATGGCATTCTCGTCGCCCTAAAACTCTGCACCTGCAAAGCCGACGGTTGGGATCGAGAGCACGCCCGCTCCGCCCTAAACATCCAACCCACGATTGATTTCCTCATTGAAAAACTCAAGACCATCATCTCCATTCGAGGCCGAAGTCCAGAACTCCAATCCCAACCCCACTCCGCACCCCCATCCACCACCACCCCCCCCGAAAAAGACATCTTCATCCGCTTTTCCCGCCAACTCCTCCGCATCAAAAGCTGGTACGAAGCAAGTCTCCACCCGCACCCCTCCCACTCATCCCCCGCACCCGAAGAAGAATTCCCTCACCCCTTCAACCAACACGATGAATCGACCACAGCACCACTCGTGATACCGGAAAGTCACCTGCAAGATGAGTTTTTGATAGGTCTGGATGATAATTTTTGGCTGGCCTTTCCCACTGCGGATGATGGGTTTTGGAATCTCCCGGATGTTGCGTTGTGAGATATTTTCTTCGGGTATTTGTCTGATGGAAATGGGGGTTTGCATATAGGGATATAGGAATAGTTTTGAAGGATTGCGTACCTATTTCATGAGTAAAGTATGTAGATAGAATGTTCCATCATCCAAACTTAAATTTGAATCCGAATCCGAATCTGAATCATCACCCATAATCCGCGTTTCTCGCATAAACAATCCCTCATTCCCGAGTATCCATCACCAAATATCAAATTCCTTTCTAGCACATAGAAATCACAGAAAACAGATAGATACATCTTTCCCACCATTCTACGCGTCACAATCACGCCTCACACTTCCCAATACAAATTCTGAACTCCTCAGAACTCCTCGGTATCCACAATTCCCCCTTCCATTCATCGATGAAGTAACTTACTTCGCATATATGCTCATATAGAAAATCCCATTCATATCACAATCACCAAATTCATGAATCCATATATTCGACTTCTCGTAATTGCAGCTATACATATACATATACAAAACATCTCATCTCTTAATTACATTTTTCAAATCCCCACTCTCATCTCATCTCATCACATAACATATTACACAAAACAAAACAAAACAATAAGATTGTTTTCGATTTAAAAAGGAGAAGTTGAACGAATGAAAAAACAACAAATGGGAGGAGAAGAAAAGGGAATAAAGTATATCAAAATAGATTTGCAATTGCCATATCCGAGTCTTGACTCGCGTATTGACATCATGACTATTATCCCTAACCCCATCATTCATAACTCATAACTCCCCTTTCCTATTCCTACCTAATATTCTTCTCAATGCGATAACCGCACTCATTGTCTACTTCCAACCCAAAAGTTCATATCATAATATACCATCGCTCACTCCATCATAATACCCATTTAAGCCAAAGCACCCATCGGATCCCACAAGTTCAAAACCTTTGCTTCACCCCCAAGCACATCCCTAACGCTCTTTGCCACAAACCTCGGTTCTACAACTGCCTGATAAACAAATTCATCCATCCACGCATCACTCATTACAAACCAGCCATTCGTTCCTGCTCCCTCTCCCCAACTATTCTGAACTCTCCATCTAACACTCTTTCCTTCCTCATCCAAATGTACAGCTGTAAGAACCATTGCATGAGTCATTGCACTTTCTCCCGTCATTAAACGTTGTGCTTTACTCATTCCAAGTTTGATATTGAATCCTAATTCATAATCGATGAGATCAAGATCCATGACTCCGGATTTGGAGTTACTGTATTTACCGACGTCTGAGCCGAAAAATATTGGGAGACCAGCTTTTAACATGGAAACACAAGCAGCTTTCATGACGGGCATGGAAACATTCACATATGTGATTGGACGACCGCCTACGATATTACCGAGACGATCGACAGTTAGGAGAGTGTTGTATTCATTTCTAGGATCGTTGACTAGTGAGAACATATCGTGGACTGTGGAATTGGTGATTCTGATTGATTTTGGGGTATTCAACTCCTTGGCGAATTGAATGGGGGTGACTTTCAACTCTTGAGCTTTATCATCTTTGTCTAGATATTGCCATGTGAAAGCTGTATCAGAGGCAGGTGGTGGACCCAAAGCAAGAGTTAGGATGAGATGGATTTGGCGAACCATATGCTCTTTTAGACTGTTGAGAGTAGAGGCAGATTTTGTAGTAGCTGCAGCGCGTAGTTTGAGAGCATCTTCTCGGAGCTTGGTTGTGATAATACTATTGATCACCGAAGATGTTTGAGCGTTGAAGCTATCTGGGTAGAGAACTTGGGGTACGAGACCATATTTATGGACAAGGTTGTAAACCCTACATCCAAGTTGTTAGAATTCGAGTGTCAAGAATTTATATCATGCAAAGTAAAACCTACATATCCCACTGTCCTCCATCACTAACCGGACTCTCCATCAATCGCTGCACCAATCTTCCATCCAAATCCTCTCCCACCGTATCAAGGATTTGCTCCAAAAACCAATTCGCCTTCTCCAATTTATCCCAAAAGAATAGATAAGCTTGAGAGAGCTCGAATTCTTTGAGGTTATGTCTCTTCATCAATGCGACGCGAAAGACATTGGTGGAGGCAAACAACCAACATCGTCCTGATTGTCGCTGATTAGTTATTGGAGCTCCCTCAAAAGGTATCTTGACGGAAAAGATTTGTTGATCTTGGTTGAGGGTGGTGCGGGATGTGAGGACTGTTCGTGGATCGGCGCTGCTGAGAGCACTAAGAGCTAGACTAGAGAGAGATTAATATTAGTATAATGCAGTTGGAATGCATAGTAATTATATATACCGATTCTTAGGATCACTCAAGAGTTCCTCCTCCCATTTTTCAACTCTCGCAGCACTCAAAGGAGTCCACTGAGCTCGCGAAGTAGCTTGATAAGCAGCACCCTTTTCATTTACATGTATGTAATCATCTTCCTCAGTTTGAAGCTGCATATTCTGAATCTTCTCCAGAAGGATGCGTTGGGCTTCTGCGGGAGAAGTGGAACCTGGGGTTGATTGCGATGAACCCATGGTTTATAACCTGTGAATGTTGTGTATGTATGGACGGGATGCAGAGGAGAACTCAGATAGAGATAAGTGTAGATGAGAGAAACCCCAAGAGAACTTGAAGATTTGGATAATGAGGTTACGAGTGAAGACAAAGCTGAAAAATAGGAGCAGAACCAGATGGTACGTATCAAGGTTTGGATAAATGATTAATTGATTCAATGAAAGGACTCATCTTATCTGTTGAGCTTATCTTTAGAAGCTACGTGAATGGCGGGGGATATGGGAAAATGGTATCATGTGCAGTCCTTTCTAGATAAAGAAGGTACTCGAGCCCGTATCGAGCCATCAAGGTACCCTTACTTGGCTTGAGTACTCCTTACGAAATCAAAGACTTGAAGATGTCAGACCCCCACTCGGATCCTATACGGCAATTTAAGGTTGATCCCTCGGCCAAAAGTGGGAATCGGACACATCTAATCATCATGGCTGGGGAATTGGGTCAAGTAACATTCTTCAACACCACACATTCCTAAGGGTAACAATCCAGTCACATATTGGAATTCAATTAATCAAAGCGTAAAAAGAGAAAAAGTAATAGACAAGCAGCGTGTTTTCATTCTGGATCTTTTCCTATTTACACAATTACAAAGTAGAAAAAGACCGCAGCATCAAGGACTCTCTCTACCACCTTGTCAAAACCACCAAAGTAGTATCACCATAGATGGCATCGAGGACCTACTTGAATACTTCGTTAAACTAAAAGAATCCGATAGATCAGATAAAAAACCCGATCGTCCAAATTTCATCCCTCATTAATCAATCTGAATCCATATCTACCCCATCATACGTTTCAAATTTTCCCTCCGAAAATGCACTAAAAAATCATGAAAACAAAAAGGAAACTCCATCGAGGAAAGGCCAATGGATTATTGCCGGTTGGACGCCATGGTGATTGGTACAGGAAATCTACAGACGGGATCCGTGGACAGTCTTCATGTCAACAGCGATCTCACGACCACCATCGGCAACGACCATGATGCGGATGCTACCACGTCCACCTTCGAAGGCCTCCTTAAGACGGGTCCAGAGGTTGGATTGGTCCAAAACGGGAATGGCTTGCTTGACATCACCGGTCTCGGTCATGGCAACAACTAAGTTCATGTTAGTATGAGATGCTGATGAAGAAGTAGCAGATAAAACTTACCGGAGTGGTCCTGGAGATCAAGAACACGGTATTGCTTGAAGACTGGTCCCAACATAGTTTGGACGACGACACTTGGGCTTGGGTTGGCGATGAAAGAGGACTCTTCATTCAATTGTCTGGTGAAGAGGTCGACACCCAAGTAACGGTGTTGGCCAGTGGCAGCGGAGGTGGTGATACGGATAACCTGGCAGGGACGTCCTTGGAGCATTAAGAGGTCACCCATACGGATGTGGTGGCAAGGGATGGTAACGGTGTTGGCAGGTTGCTTTGGAGCAGCAACGGCTGGGGCTCCGGCTAAATCGAGAGAGTCAATTGGGTCCTGGTTCAAAGTTTTCCCGTGTCCATGGTAGTAACCTCCACGAAGGGAGTGATAGTTCCCTGATTTTGAATGCTTAGGGTACATGGTGGGGGGTTAGAGAAAAAACAAACAGGAAGCTTACCTTCATCATCGTAGTAACCCATTTCGAGATTGACTGGTTTGAAAGTTGAAGTGGTTGATTTGGGTGCGGGGGGAGTGTACTTGACGAGTTCTCTTTCACGAACTTCTTCGGTGAAAGTAGATCTGGCTGGTGTGCGAGGTTGCTTGACGCGAACTTCTTCCTCGAACTGTTCTTCGTGGAAGGTTGACTTGGGCTTGTGAGAATGAGTGGAACGGGGTGCTGGGACGATAGTAGTCTCAGTTACTCGAGTCTCTTCAATGTATCTTGGTTCAGATGCACGGGATTTGGGAGGGTCGACGATGACAGTGTCTTCCTTGTAACTTGGTTGGGTTCGAGAACGATATTGACGTTCAACGAAGTCGATGTTGGTCTCGGTAGGACTCTTTTGAGGAGCAGAGAACTGAGTATCAACTTCAGATGGTTCGTAGTGACGAGGTTGACGTTGACGTTCAAGTTGAAAGTCTACTTCAGAAGATTGACGGCGTTGATGATGGTGGTGATGATGATGTTCACGACGGGGAAGTTCGATATTAACTTCAGAGTGTTTGTGGTGACGATCACTGTCTCTTTCAAAAGAAGCTTCGAAGTGTCTGTGGTGATGTGGGGTGTTGATATCGAAGGAAGCAGAGTGGTGTTTGTGTTTGTGTTCGGGTCTAAAAGAAGGGTAGAGAAAACCAAAGGGTCAGTTAATGAAGAAAATTAAACGGTGAGCGTTACTGTGTCAACACTAAAAGAAAAAAAAGAAGCCCATGTTATTTTTGGGGTAAGGGGGGTGGCTGGGACTAAGCCGAAGATCGTTGGACTGTGCGTCGTAATAATAAAAAACAAGAAAGCTGGCAAATTTGTCTCAGAAGGGACCCAATTAATGGTTAATTGGGTACTGCTTCTTCCGATATGGCCAGATCGTTTTTATTATTATTAATGCTGTAGAACGAGAAAAGAAAGAAAAATTGGGAATTGGTGCCAATGTTGGGAAAAGGGCCCAAAGAGAGGTGAAAATGGAGGTGAAGGGGGAAAAAAGGATTGTGGATGTTATTGGGGCTCCAGCTGGTCGGTCTGGTATGATGATTTGTGTCTCGTTTGTTTTTGATGTAATTTTGGATAGATAGTGGATTTTGATAGAAAGGAGAGTTTTTTGTGAGACTGTAAAAGAAAGAACGGTTTTTTTTTGTTTTTAGTTACTCACCTGCGTTCTTCACGAATGTAAACTTCTTCTTCTCTGCGGCTGCTCGGACGGTATTCAGAACGGCGATCTTCTTCACGGGTGATGCGAACCTCTTCTTCTATAAACTCCTGTCGTTGAGGAGGGGGAGGAAGGTGATGTTGATGTTGGTGTTCGGGTTCGTGTTCGTGTTGATGGTCGTGTTGCAGCTGGTGTTGGTGTTGAGAGTAAAGAGATTGAGCGTCCTCTTCTTGACCTTCCCGTCCGACGCGCTCGTGATGATGGTGTAGAGTGATTTCACCTTCGACGTGAGTCTCGGTGGTATGAATGGGTTGGGCAGCGACGTCGCTTCTATACGACGACGGGAAGATGCTGAAGGGGATCGGTATACGTGCGTCAAAGTCCAGGTTGACGACCTTTCAATGCGAGAACACTTCTCGAATACCTTTCAGCGTACCGAAAGGATATCACAAGAAGGATCTCTACTTCTTGAGGTAGAAGGAAGAGGGAAGAAAACGTTTACGGGTAACGTTTCTTGACTCGTCTTTCAGATTTCAAAAAATATTTTGAGGTCTTTCAAGATGAACAAAAGAGTAGCAGGAGTATATTGTGATGTGATTGCGAAAGTGCAATGCGATGGAGAAAGTAGGTAGGTGGTAGGTGTGAAGAGTGTAGTGTGTGAGTGTGTGTGTACAAAATTGATTGGGGATGCGATTTTGAGGTTGTATTTGTGTTGATGTGGGGTGGGAGGATTGAAAGAGGGAAAGAAGATGGTGGAGAGAGATTTGCAAAGGGTGCACGAAGGGTGAAGGGTGAATGGGTGAAGGAAGAAGGGTGGTGGGAGCAAGTTTAGAGAAATCAAGGTGGTTGGATATTCACTCTTTCCCATCCAAGCAGCCAGCAGGGTCACTGAATTTTAAATTATACCGACAGCCATCGTGATTTTTTTATTAGGTATACCTAGGTGGGTGGGATGATTTGTTTGTTTACATTCAGTTTGTGGTGATGTTGTGATATTGGGAATATGATATTATTTCTGACTAACTGCATCGAGTAATTACCTAAGAATTACCAAAGAATTACCATTTGGAACGGTTGCATTGTAGGAAGCCGAGTTACAATGCAGTGCAGAAAGTGATGAAAAGTGGTAGGGAAGACGGTCTGCTTTTATGATTGATGGGGGGGGGAGGTGGATGGACAAGGTGATGGACGATGGATGATGGATGATGGCTGGATGGATGATGGATGATGGATGGATCATGAATGGAAGGGTGATGAGAGTGACATATGTGTGATGTGTGATGGATGAGAAGACGGAAATAATAAGACATGCCCAAATTGTAATCGTGGTACGGTAGAGTCTATTCTTGAGCTACGGGGTACTCGACCACCTACACCTACACCTACACCTACACCTACACCTACCTAGTAATTTCAATCCCATGATTCCATCTATTGAATGATGAAACTGAGTGAAGATTGGTTCGAATATATTCTACATATGGATGTCTACGTGGTAGGTCACTCTAATTTCCTTTTTACCCTCTGCCTTTCATTTTCTTTCCTCTCTTTCTTTTACCTTCTCTCATCATACCGATTCATACGCCATCACAAGGTACCTCAAGCTTAGCTACCCCAGAGTGTCACCACTTCAATCAATATCGACCATAATATATCCCAATTAGGACGCAATGTAAACAAACCACTCAACTATCTCGATCCTACTCTACTCTGTACACTACTGTTTGATCCATCCCCGACTATTGACTTTCCGAGGTCCTGAGCAATATCATGTTCCCAGCATATCATCGGCAATTTCATTCATCGATATTTGTGGCGTCGAACTAGATCTCCAAGTCCAAGGCTTCACAGTGTTCACATGAAATCTGTTTGGCTCTGCTGTAATCGGCCTCGTCTTCATCTTCTCTTGTCCTTCCATCTGGACAGCGCTCCACTCTTCCCAGACTCCACTTTCCTTCTCGATCGGGTATGAAGCATCAGTGGATCTTCGTGTTCATGTGTTCTCGGCCCCCAGCCATCGCAGCATTTTACTTTCCCGTGCAAGTTTCCGATAGAAGACATGCTCCGGTTGGATATCCTCTCGAATCTCTCCAAATGAAAACAAACGACCGTCAATCGATGATCCCAAACAGGAATCTAGGTAGCCTCACCATTGGCCGTCTTCCATAGACCATGTCGAATACGGATAAGTGTG